ACACAGTCTAACATCCACACATATAGAAAAAACCTCGAATCTTTTGCATATCTCGAAATTTCAAGGTGTTCCGAGCCCAAAAATGTAAAAATTTGGGCGGGGTCATTTTTTGACCGAGCGCTACACTTTCCTTCTGTATAACAGCCGGAAAAGTAAAAATTATCGAATACATATTTATATATTACTTAGAGTAGTCTTTTAGCTTTGGAATAAAAAGTTTCTATGCTCTATCTTTATTACAACTTTATTTATTGAATATTTTATTCTGAGGTCACGTGATGACATCAGAATTTCCGGGTCTCTTTTGGTAACAAGTCTGCCCCTAGTCGGAGTTGGATGGTAAGGAAAAGTCGGAGTCGGTAGATTTTTACGCGACTTCACAGCCCTGATTGTAACACAAGAGACCAGGTAGCACATCATTATTGTTTTTGCAAATTTGTATATATCTTTATTTTATATTTTTTTGGGTCACGAAAAAACTCACAATCATAAATGGGGTCGTGAATAAAAAAAGTTTAAGAAGCCCTGATCTAGAGAGAACGCCTTTAAATTGACTCCTTTGAAAGTGAACTCCTTCCATCCAAGAGAACTTCACTTAAGTGAACACCCACAGTCCTTCAATTCAACTCAGATCCCTTACCAGGTATCTATAGAATCTTATATGTAAGCTCTCGCTCTCAACATTGAACATGAATTTGTTAAATCGGTTAAATTGTAAACGCAACCTTTACTTTAAATATTAATCTTTTGTGTAATTAGCTTAATAAACGGAAATTGTTATTGTTTAATTTGTCTTTGGTGCACTTCCTCAATCCGTGCCATATCTCGTGTCGGATCTAAGCGCCTACAAACGCAACCGCTCGCGCAAATAAGACAGAAATTGTGGCCATTTAGGTTTCTGTGTCTACCCAGAAGACAAGGTGGTGTCAGTCTTGACAAATTAGTCATTGCAGTCTTTGTCTATGTGATGTCTATCCTTCGGACTCGTGGTGCTGAAGCATAGGGGGCACTTCGCGCATTGTCATATAATACACATCAAGATTTTTCTCAGAGATATAGTTTATAATATTTTTAAGCAATATAACATATTAAGAATCAAACCTCTCTTAGAAGATCTTGTTCCATTTGATGATATTGCAGTAATTTCCGTCTACGAAATTTACGAATTTCGAGTCTATGGTAATCAGTTTGTTCTCTCTGTAACCGTTGCATGGCTGCCGTCTGTCTTTGAGAAAATTCTTCTTTATGCGAACGTAACACATCGTCTCTATGCCTTGTTGGAATATCGCCACTCATTTCCTTTTAAATAAAATTTATTAATATTCACTTTTGATTTCCTAAAGATTATATTTCTACATTAAAATTAGTCACTTATCTTTTCAAATATTTTGATTTATCAGTTTAACTAAATATTATTCAAAATTCATAATTATTAGAAAAAATATTAGTCATAATGATGTTTTATATTTACAAATATATGTTAAATAACAAACTGCATATTAATAAATAATAATAGATAGCTTTCAATAGGCAGGATATTCAAGAAAGAATTTGTTTGTAATATAAAAACAAATACATTCAAGAAACTATATGATGAAATTAATTTTTTTTCAGAATGCATTACAATTCAATAGATTGCAAAATTACAACTTATCTTTAAATGATAAAAATCCTGTGAAAAATTCTCTATAAGTAGTACTGAATACAGTACTACTAAAATAAATAGTAAAAACATAACTTTTTCTAAAAATGAGTTTAGTAATCTATGATACAAATTTAATTGATGAAAACAACAAAATCCTTAGATGTGATTATATTTTTTGAAAAATTTGGAAACTAGTATTTCACTCACTGTACAGATTAACTTTTTTTTAATGAAAATCAGTTTATAAAATAATTTCTTTATATATCCATGTATAATAATTATACAAATCAATGATATGAGGGGTGTTCAAAAAGTATCAAACCTTTATTTTTCCTGCATAAACCAATGATGCACAGGAGGTCTCTTTTGGTGGAGTTGTGGAGGGGACAGTCATGCACAGACCTGAATTTTTTCCCGCCTGCAGGAAGCATCAGTCGCTGGCAGTTGGCCTATGAGTGAGGACGTGTAGTAAGCTCTCGTCAGATTCCACTAAGTTGGAAAATGACTGAACAACATGAGCAATGTCAAGGTCATGTTGACAGTTTTTTTTACTCCTGTGGGGTGGTGTACTCTGAATACTACCAAGAGGTGCTTCGTAATCTTTGTGATGCTGTGCAACACAAATGACTGGATCTGTGGTCAACCAAAACTTGGCAGCTCCATCCTAATAACGCACCCGACCATTCTGCACATCTGATTTGGACTTTCATCGCCAAACACAACATTCCTATGATTATATTCACACTCCATACTCTCCTGACATAACTCTGTGCGACTTTTGGCTATTTCCCAAGCTGAAAATGCCGCTAAAAGGAACCCCATTTTAGTCAAGAGAAGACATCATGCGGAATGTGACAGACTGGCTGATGGCCATTCCAAAAAATGCGTTCCAGCAATGTTTCCAGCAATGACAGGAGCACTGGGAGAAGTGTATACATTACCAAGGAGACTACTTTGAAGGGGATTAGAGTTTTGTACCTCAAAATCAATAAATGTATTTTTGCCGACCAAAGGTCCAATACTTTTTGAACACTCCCTGTATTTATTTATTTACTTATATATTATTTTAAGAAAAATATAACTTAATTCAAATGGATTATCGCAGAACTCAAAATTCCAAACATTCATAATCTGCCAACCACCATATTAGATATTTAATTATAAATATAATTTGAATTTTAATTTTATAAATCATTTTAAAACTTTGATTTTTTTATAATTAATATAAAAAATAATTTATATAAATGTTTCGACAAGTGAAAATTATTTACCCTTTTAATTCTATCTTTAAGGTATTTATATTCTGACTTTTGTTGTTGCTGGAATCTTTTTACTTCCTCATCATGTTGCTGAGAGATTCCACGACTAAGTCTTTTCTCACTTGCCAAATTTTGTTTAAGCTAGAATATTACAACAAAAACATTATGTTAAAAACTAAACAAATCAAGAATAATTTTGTAAAATTACAAATCAGAAAGGTACCTTTCTTTCTAGATCTTGTTGATGTTTCATTTGTAATTTCTCCAACTCCTTACTAAATTGCTGTAATAAATTCTCATATTCTTTATCTAATTTTTGTTTGTGTTCTTCCATTTCTTGTCTACATTTTGCCTCAAGCTAAAAGCACAAAAATAACATCTTTATTAAAATAATAAATAATTTCATGTGTGATTGACAAACATTTTACAGAATTTAATTCAAACAATTATTACTATTAATAATAAATTCAAACAAAATATTAGAGATTAGCATTATTTCAAAATTTCATTAGAAGATAAAGTAACAAAATTAAGTTCTTATGAAAATCAGCATGAAGAACACTATATGTGTAAAATTAAAATAATTAAAAAATAGTATTTGTAATATTCAGGCATTAGACATGGAGAAAACCTAGAAAACTCTACATTGCCAGCACATCTTGGTGAGGCATAAACCCACAACTGAACTCCCAAAGTTCAGGGAACAGAACTGCATGGCCACTGGTAAGCAGGGGTTTTATAATATATTTAATATATATTAATTTATGTATAATAGCATTCTCAATATTTTATGTACAGTGAAACTTCTCTATAACAAACACTTGCAGAACTGAAAACACTAACAGAGAGGTGTTTGCCAAAGAGAACGTTTATGAAAACTACCTTTTGTGTAGGTCTATATTTAAAGGATGTTCATTTATTTTTATTTATAAACATAATACACATAGCATGTAAAAAGATAACAACACAACACATTATAGGAAGTAATAAATTATCATAAAAAGGTCATTATTTTTTTTAAATTTAGTTTTGTTTGTTTGTTTTTTTTATAAATTGGTTGTAGAAATCTACTTCTTGCTATGCATAATTAAATCTTGTAATAAATATCTGCTTTATCAAATCAATAAGGAAATAATTTTAACGATTTTGACATTATTTTTTAAATCTATTAATAAAATTTGATTATTATTGTATATTGTTACTAATTCATGTAACTTAATATTGCAGGACAGTATTTTTCAACCTTTTTTATTGAGTGGCACCTCTGATTGAAAAATAAAAAATTGTGACACCCTTGACCAGCGGCAGATCTAGAATCTGAATAAGGGGGGGACTAATGGGCCAGATGAATTTTTTGCAATATGATATACTAATACTAAAATTCTATCAAATACACTTATCATCATAAATTTAATATTCTAAAATTCAGTTTTTCTAATTTTATATTGAAAGTTCTATAAGTAAACATTTTCGTTTTAATTTAATAATGAAGAATCTATAATTTCAATTATGGTTAAGAAACGTTTGTTTACTTTGATAATTATGATTTAATTAATTACTTTAATATCATAATTAAACTGTGATTATGTATGTATGATTTACCTCTAATAAATTTCTCTCTAGTAGTGAGTCAAAAAAGCTGACTGTGAAAATTTTCAACTTTCTAAGAAACTTGACACATAATTACAACATTCTTTTTTAATTCATATTTTCCAAAAAATTTATATAATTTTACCTGAATAAGAGCCTTTTGATGTTGACGTCTCATACGTTTATATCCAGACATCTGCTCGTGCATCTGGTTTTCCTGCTCATGTTCTTTCATTTGGCGTGTAACAATAGATGTAGTCCGAATTGTCGCAAAATTGTTGGCACCTACGTCAGTGCTATTTAAGCTAGTTGATGAAGAATTCTGTAGTAAATATGTTCATAAATTAATTTAAATATATAATTAAAAATTCAATAATTAAAATTTTCACTAAAATATAAATATTCATAAACTTTTACTCTGTTTATTAAACATTAAATTAAAATCAATTAAAGCAAGATAAAACACACAAAACTCCTTTAATATTGATAATTAATATAATTAATATTTTTTAATATTCTATTTCGTTAAAATTATTAAAAATTCCATTATTATTCTAAATTTTTCACAGGTGTAAAGTATTTACTTATCAAGAAATTATTTTTTGAAGAACTATTTATGATATTGCATTTGAAATATAGCATATTTAATAAATTAAATCTGAATTTTATCTATAATTTATTCAAACATAAATTTTATTAAACCAATTGTTGTCCACTGACATCAAATAATTTGTGCGAGAATCGTTCATTCTTGGATTATTTGTGATGGTGATACAGATCCAGAATGGATAGAATCATTAAATTCAGTACTTGATGATAACCATTTGTAAACATTGTCATCAAGCAAAAGAATACAATTTGATTACATAATTTTGCCACTGATAACTTATAAAATAATTTTAACATGAAAAACTATCTGTAAAATCTTGGCATATATGATATAACCAAGAAAACTTTACTACCCAATTATTAATACACAAAAATCCAAACAACATTATTTTGCATTAATAATTCATTTTTCTTTTGAACTTTATGGTCATTTAAACACTAAAAAAGAAAACATTTATAGATTCATTAAAGTAAACTAATATCCAGATGCAAATTACAAACATATTTTTTTTTAACATTTAAACTTGATTAGCTCACCAAAATGCATTAAAACCTAAAGATTTTTGCACATAATAAGCCAGTGGTTCTCAAATAGTGGTTGCAAATCTACTAATTTTTTTATTACCAGTAATATGATAAATTTTCAATGTGTTACCAATTAATTGGTAAATTACCAGTAATTATTTTAATTGTAACTCCAAATGAGAAAATTATAATAAAGATATTGCACTAACAAATTTTGCATAAAAAAGGACTAAAATAAAAAATGAAACCATTATTTGAATTCCCCCATTAAACAATTTCTCTCATTCAGTAGTTAAAGTTGATCATTTTGTTTTATAATTTTGCTTAATGTAAACATAAATGAGGCTCTTCTTCCGTTAAATTAAATAATTTAATGGTATTTTGTTCAAAAATATGCTAGCTTAAGCATCATACAGCCCAAATAGTTTTAAGAATTAGTTTAAGTTTTTTTAAGAATATACTGATTGTGTCACAAGTCACTCTGTAATTAATATCTTTTGGATATGCAGCAAGTTAAATGGTTTGGCATTGTTATTAGTTAAAGTTTAAAATAATGCTGTTGTACATCTTGCAGAAGAAAAAAATAATAAAAAAATAGCAATGTTTAAATAAAGCAAATGTGTTTATTTTGCCAACTAATATCACTAGTTTGAGATAGACTTTGTGGGAAAAGAAACAAATTGCCAAAATTTGTAAACAACTATAAAATAGTTTAAGTATATACTTTAAATTGAATGGTGTACTTTAATGGTTTAATTTAAAATATTTGATACTTTGGTGTCACTCTATATATAAATTTGTATGAAAGTGTACACAAATAAATATTTGGCTTCAAGGAAATTATTTTGTATCTATCTATTTTTAATAAATTTACCAGTAAAAAATATTGAACTACTAGTATATTAATAGTAAAATGGTAAATCAATTTACCATTATGTAGTTCCTATACTCAAAGTGGAATCCATGTGTGCATATCAAATAGTCAGTCCAAGGATTGAATGGATCATTTTTCTGAAATGTAATTCTATCCTGTTTAGCCAAAGAAAACATTTTCATGCATAATATCTCTCATAATAAGTTACAGGATGGACAAAATATTTTCACATGCAATCTATCCTTATCTACAATGATATTTACAGAATTGTATGTGGACAGACATAGGTGATCCATAGTTCATGTGTGATTCACTTTAACTGGATCAATAATTTTGAGTGTCACTGAAATAGGCAACTAGTTAGTTTACAGTGGAAGCTGACAGTTGCCAAATTTTCCAAATCTTGTACACATGCAAGCATGCACACAGATAATCAGATAATTCAAGAAAGATTCTTTTTTACAATTTCCTTTATTAAAAAATTTGTTTTTAAGTTATATTCAATTTTTGTTTAAGTATTATATAAACAGGAACATAATTATGTATCCATTTTTATTTTCAAAATAGACTTGAGATTTATTTTACACAGCATATTGAGTGATGTCCACACTCGGTGAAAAGTTTTTAATTTCTTATTGGTTGTTAACATGGTAGTGACTCATAGGTGTTACTTCAATTCAAAATTTCACTTGAAAAGTTAAATAGATACCAGCACACACTGTTGTTAACAGGAAAAGTATGATATACAGGGGCAAGACCACTAAAATTGAGAAAATTGTGATAAAAACTGCAGCCTGGCATTGTGACTTTGTTACAATAAATGATCATTCATCAGAATTAATTTGGTTTAATTGGATATGGCAATGCAACATATGAACAATCTGCCAAAGGGGAAGCATCCCGGAATGACATTTAAAAGCTGGACCCTACTTAGGTGTTATTAACCTTTGTAGAGATGGTTAGTCAGATAGGGCACTATCACAATGTAGTGGAGAAGAAACGTGGGAAATTTTTTAAGAATTTTCCCACACGTTTTGCTCATTTCCATTTCAAAAACTTTTTAAACAGTTATGTCTAGTAAAGAAAAATCTTTCTTTATTGTCACATAATTCAATTTTTATGTGAATTTTTTTTCACAGTAATTTTTGGCGATGTCCGCAAAATTTTTTTGCAGATATAGACATCATTCTCCAGTGCCATGTGATTGCCCTTGACGGGTATATCCATTGATCACTGTGGAGTGGTTAACATGAAGAAAACCTGAAAAACTCCACATGGTCAGTGCACTGGCAGTGCACAAACACACGACTAACTAGCTACCAGTGATCGTTAGTTTTATCTACTCAGCTACTGGAAGGCACTTATTAAAATGAAAAAGAACCGTTCAGAAATGAAATAAACCCAAGTCATTAGATGTAGAAAATTAAATAATTGTAGACTTTCCACAGGATAACACTTTTGATTCCATGAAGGCAGGTCCTATATTCTACCTGTTTCGGTAATGATATAGCATATCTATTTCGTGCTGTATCACTGTCACAGTAATTAAGTGAATATAATATATTTTTTTTTTAAATTACATTCTTTTTTGAAAGAATTATATTTAGTTTATTATTTTGTTAAATTTTTGCGAATAGATGGTGCTACGTGTAAATCAGCAATTCTAATGTAGACAGAAATTAATTGATTTATAGAAATGCAATCGATATTTTGGAGAGGGATGTACAACATTAACTAAATTAAAAGTATTTGAATGTAACTGCAGAGTTTTATAGTAATTGGTCAAATGGCCTAGGAATGTATAGCAAACAAACAAACATCCTCATATATATATATAATTAAAATAATCTCAGATATATATATCTGAGACTATTCTAATTGGAAAAATAACAAATCATATGAAGAAAACGCAGCATATTATTTAACATATTTCAAATCTGTAAAAATTCCTCTTCAGAATATTCAATTTTCTGCAAAGGAATTAATAAATTATTAGTAAATTATGACTGACAAAAAGCTAAATACCTTCAATTTGTAAGATTTTCAACATACTTTTTTTAATAAAAGATTTTAGATTTATTTCAAATTGTATTCATAAATTGTACGAAAATATTAAAAACTAAGGCATAACGAACTGTTTAATGCAATCTTCAAATAAAAAAAAAATAAAATAGAATAACTTTTCAGATTAATAGATTAAAAATGCTTATTTATAACAAGAGAAGTCAATTGACCTTTTAAAACCAGTTATTAGTTAGATTGCAGGACTGAACTTCATTCTTCCATTGTCAATGCAATCCTTATTTGGCCCTTCACCTTTCTTACACTAATAAAAAACTTACAGAAGGACTGACACGAACACTACTCCGTTGTCCTCTCATGGAAGCTGGATAATTGTATGTCGAATCGTTCTCGGATGCAGGTGGAAGACTACTTGTACTGCTACTCTGACTTCCGGCACTTACGCCACCACTCTGATGACTATGAGTACTGGCTAAACTATTACTTTTACTGCTATCTCCTCCGATTTGATCGTCTTCCTTTAAAAATTAAGAACACAAATAAATAAATCTATTTTTATAAAACTGTCCATTTAATAACAATCTGATTATTGTACTGTATTTTCCAAAATAAATTAAATTACAAGCACTCCTCTACTTATGAACAAGTTAGGTTCCTGGGGTTTTGTTGTAAATTAAAAAATAACTTAGAAAGTACATTTGTCTACAGAATAATCACTTATTGTTAGTGTTTTATAATTCAATGTACTTAATAGAATACATTGTGCTCATTTACCCACTCGCTACTGCTTAGCAGCAGACGTTTCAAACGCAGTTTTATAAGATCCAGTTTAAGTTTCCATGGTAATAGAGTGACACTTCTTGCATTTATCTCCACTGTTAGATTTACATTTTGAATACATTTTTGAAGCACTAATTGTAAAAGTTTATAAAAATTGTAAACAATAGCAAAAAATGCCATTATCTCAACATTACCAGCTTTGATGTCTCCTCATGAGAAGCAATGGAACCTCAGAATTTACACAAAAGTGAAAAATGACAATATGCAATAGAAATAAGTTGACATTAACTATTTATTAAAAATTTATTTATTTATTACTAAGCTTAGGAATCTGGTGCAGCACTACTTTTTAATGCAGGTCTTATTTTTTGGGAAACCATAACCAATCACCAGAAAATGATCTCCTAATCTATTTAAACTGAATTTTTAATTCCAGTTTTGCTCCTTTCTATCCTTATCCTCTCTTTTTTTTAACCATTTTCCTCAATTACCATCATTTTCTGACTTTTTCAAGCTTTTGCACAAAATTACAAATAAAATTTGTTACGCTTAATTCCAGTTCAACAGTTAAACAATTTTTAACAGATTTTCCTCTCCATTTAATGTTCAGAAATTGAAATTATGCTTTTGATTTAGCTGACAAATTTCAACTATAAACAGTTTTGAATTTGAAAGTTACTACTTTACAATATTTTGAATTTCCTGCTGTAATTGGTAGGAAAAAAGGTCATTTGTCTAATGTTGGTTTAAAAACAGTATAACTAGGCAATTTCCTTTGCCATCTCTACTTTTTAATGAAGTTCTGCACCTTTTTATCAAATTATAAGAATATATAAATTTATAATTATATACTGTACTGACCCAAATATTATATAAGTAGGCTGACTTTCACTTGTCAGCCCATTTGCTTTTTCCAGGTTTCACAATTTCAAAAAAACAAGTCTAAAAATCCAAGATGAAATATGTATTAGAAACTATAAAAAAAACATATAATATTGAAGACACATACTAAAAAACTATATTGTATATTTTTTTTAGTTTCTAAATATATATATTTCATCCTGGATTTTTAGAATTTTTTTCTTTACAATGAAAATTTCTGAAGATATCCAATGTCACAGAACTTTTAACCAATTATGTAAATATAGGTCGGAAAGAGCCTATAAAAGAAGATAAACCCCACCAATGTTATTTGTGTTCCAGTGATTGTGAAAGAACATTTAAGAAGACTGCAAAAAAATTTGTTTATATACGTTTTCAATATTGTATATTTTTTTTTACAGTTTCTAAAGTAATTTGGGTATAAAGTTTCATACAGGTTTAAGTTACATCAGTCACAAAAAACAGTATTGGAATTGGCTGCTAACAATGAATGAGTCATACAATCTAAATATAGATATCAATCAACTAATCATCCAAGTAATCATTTGGGAAAGAGTATGTGCAGGTTGCCATGCTGAAAGCAGTGACCCAAAAAAAAATTAATTATTAAATTACATTGTCTTCTTTAGTATAAAGTTTTTTTTTATTTATTTAATTAAACATAATAGAAAAAATAATTTTAAAATTTAGATTCAATAAATGAAATATTAGCTCTTTCCTTAAAAGCATTTTTTAGAACTTTTATGGTATCATCTGTATCACAATAAAAAAATACTGAGATTTTTGTTAGTTATGTATAATATGAAAATTTTACAAATCTATATATATAAAAATGAATGTATGTCTGTCTGTGTGTCTGTCTGTCCTTCATGCATTACCACACCGTTTATCCGATTGCCATGAAACTTTGGGAAGTTGTTTAATATACTCCCGCGAAGGTTTGTGGCATAGTACGATTGCCATAAAACTTTGGAAAGTTTTTTAATACACTCCTGCAAAGGTTTTTGGCATAGTACATTTATCCTACGATAGATGGCGCGCGTTTACACGAGCATTCGAGCACAGTGTGTTCGATCGATTTCAAATTGTGAAGACCATTTCCCCCTTCAAAAAATATTTCTATATATGCATTTGTGAACTGTTATTTACGATATTTGTAATAATTTTTGTTTAATCACTTTATTTCAACTTTTTTTTGCTAATTATGTATTCGCTCGAACTTCGTTAAAACCTTAACTGTACCCCGAACAACAACCGAAGTTGTAGGAAGAAATTCGCGTATTTTACCGATCTAGGTATCCCCCTTTTCCAAATTTTAATATCGACTCAAAATAATTTAAAAAGACAAATTACAATAAAACGGTTTATTATCCAACTATCAGAAATTTCACAACATGCCAAGGAAGAGAGGAAGGAGCAATTAAATAATTAAAATTATAAAGGATTAAAAAATATATATATAAAAATGGGGAATATCGCACTTCTGACAATTGCTGCAAGTGTATGGGCTAAATTTGGAGAATCCGTGCTTCTCGCATGGACAACTGTATGTGGCCAGCTCACGCATCGGAAAACCTTCCAATTTATTCATGTACGCACCAGATGGAAAAACAAAAAATATCGTGTATTCACAAAGCACTCCAATAAATAAATAAAATTGAAACGACACTTTGAAATGTTTTCCCGATGAAAATGAATAATAATAATAAGTTTCAATAAAAATGACGAAATGTAAATTTAATTTTATCATAACAAGCTTGTTTGAATTTTGTTTCTTCTGAGATCACAGCAATGCACGACGGGTAAGCTAGTACAGAATAAGTCTGTAGTTAGTCTGCATCGTATTTCAATAATCATATTTGAAACAACAATTTGTTGCAAAAATGTTATCTAAATACTAATAATATAAATTTTTATATTTGTTTATCAGTAAACTTTCAATGTTTTCAGAGGTATTTTTAATTTCATTTTCAAAATTATTAAATTATTTTAGTATTATTTTTTAATTTTACACTTACTGTAGAATCTTCTTCAGTTTCACCTGTAGTAACTTCATTTTCTTGAGAATCTACCATGAGTATCTTTTTCATCTTGCGATAATTTAAATTGTCTAATTCTCTAACAGCAGCTTTGGTTCGCTGAATTAAATCTAAAATTACTCTAGGTTGCCGAGATCTTGCGATAAATGGATGCTGTAATTAATAAATTGACAGTAATAATTTAATAATGCTAGTATTTACTTAAAGGAAAAACTATTTTAAATTAAAAAAAACTTATCTACAAATTAAATTTATAGTGTACATATCTACATAAGCACATATATTTCAACATTACAAACTTATAGATACAATGTGAATTTTATATTTATTATTAATCAAATTAAAATGTTGCACATAATTACCTGAAGTAATTTTGATGCTGTTGGTCTGTCAGCTGGATTTTTTTGTAAACATGAATCAACAAAATGCCTAAATATATCAGACCTGCAAAATTTAAATATTTTTGAAATCATATAATAAATAAAAATTTATTTAAAAATTAAAAAAATCATGATATACAAATATACTTAACAAATAAATAAATAATTAATTACAGATTAAATGCATATATAATGTATTTATCGTGGCAGTATAAAATATCATATTATTAAAAAATAGGATATACAGTATTAGTGTATCAAATACAAAAAAAAAAATTTTTCTGTTCTGATTGGTATTAGCATATTAACGAAATCAATTAAAACAAATCAAATTTGCTATATATAATCAACATCTATGAAGTTCAATTTATATCTCAAAATCATTTGTAAAGATGAAATTTGATTTTATATTTTTGAAAGTTAACAAATCACTACTTATCAGAACTATCTGTTGTTTTATAAAAAATTAATTTGACATGATCAAATAAAATTATTAAATATGAGCTATTATTTATTGTGATATCACAATGCCAGACTACAATTTTTTGCCACAACACTCTTGTTTTAGTAGTGTCTTGTCCCTGTATGTCCTACTTTTCCTGTTAACAATAGTATCATGAATGTTAGGGTTTTTCATTTTCCCGGTCTTTTACTTGTCCCAGGATTCTGGGATAAAAGTGAACTATTTCCCGGGATGCCAGAATATAATTACAGTAGAGCGTCGTTTATCCGAATCAATTGGGGACTGGGGTTGTTCGGATAACTTATTTTTCGGATAACCAATTATGTACGAAAAAATATATTAATTATCCCCTGTTGAAAATTTTCTCCGTTGTGTGTCACTTCGCATTGAATTTTCGTCGATATTAAGCCTAACGAAAACTATTGTATCGTTAAAAATTATTTTTTTATTTTGTACAAACAAAATAAATATATTGAAAAATATAAAAACAATAAAAAATTATACTTCAGAAGTTAATTTAGTATCAAAAACGTAAAATATTTGAGTAGCCGAAGACATAGCCAAAGATTACAGCGCCACAGCACTGGCGAAAATTTAAATTTGTCAACTGGAATTCCTTCGGATAACAGACGTTTCGGATAACTGACCTTCGGATAAACGACGCTCTACTGTAATTATTTTTAAAATAGAAAAAATAAATAATTATATCATTTGATTTCTAGATTTCATTTTTAAAGTAATTTAAGCATTCTGCAACCTCCAAAATCCTATTAATAATGCTGTGTAAAATATGTATTAAAAATATCTTTGAATTATGTAGAAAATTTCACAAACAGAAAAAATTTGTTAAAGTTTTTCGGAAACTGCTTACAACAAAAAATGCTTGTGAACTGAGTTAAAAATTTAAAGAAAAAACTGAACTTTGATCAAACTTCTAACTTAGAAAATAATTTTCTTTATTTAAATAAAACACAATACAAATATTACTGTGAATTTTTGTAATGAGATTTTAAAAAACAAAGATGGTCGATACTCCAATCACTCAATCTGGTTCTTAATTTAGTAATAAAAAGTCCTTCTGCCGAGAATGCCCTTTCTGATTTAATCGATGTGGGTAGAATCGTTTTTAATGCATTAAAGAAAAAACAGTTGTTGTGTGTTTTTCGCCTGTAGCCTCAAAGATTTCTATTTCGTTCTCGAGATGCATTCCAGTACTGCTTTTACTGTCTACTTTTCTTGATCTGTCTACCTTGGTTGATTTAATAGCAGGATCAAGCTTTTCAGCTAAAGTCATTGCGGATGAGCTTGAGACATCTAGTATTTCATGTGTATCACTGGAGGTAGAATCAGCAGATACACCAAAAAGACGATCTAACATCTGTTTTGCTGATAAAATTAACATAATCTTGGTTGGTAAGGCTGGCAAACTTTTTTCACTTGGGAAAGTTGAAACTTTTCCATAATTCTTTCCACTAGTGAGGTATTGTATGAGACCAGTCAGTTTCACATTTCTTCTCTCTGCTATGTGTCGAATAAACAACTCCTTGAAAAAGGTGTGTTTAGTTGATTTAACTCATTTACAATAAAAGAAAAAAATACCTTCTCATGAAAGTAAAGTCAATCCTCTGTTGCCAAGCTTTTCTGCTCCAGCTTTTAATGGCTGCAGCGATGCCACGATGCAATAATTACAGCAACTTCCTGTTTGTCAAGATAAAAATTGTCTGTATCTTTATTACAGTCAATGGTTGTTTTTGGTATGGATGATCTTATTTTAATTAATAAATCAATCTAACATGGCTAAAAGGCTATTCCATTGGGTTTTGGAATCCAGAAATAAGTGCAAATTTTTTCCATGTTCCTGTTCAACATATTTTTGTAAGATGTTATTCTTTAAAGGTAATTTGCAAAAAAAATTTGCTATTTTTCTAACCTTATTGATGATTTGAGAACAGATGATTTCATTACCTAGTGTGTGATGCAATTCAAATGAAATATCTATGCTGAAAGGACCTTCAGCCAAATGCTCACACACAAAACACTTTCAAGATCAATACTATAACTGAAGTCTTCTTCATCTTTCTCTATATCATCATTGCGCTCGTCATCTTCAGTTTGAATTTCTCTAGAAAGAGGGACTGCTACTGAAATGGTTGACTTTTGTTACAAAACATCACATATCGCTAAATGAATTCGTGTGCATAACTAACTGATGCTCACATTCAACTAATCTTCCAAATTTCACCATTACAGCTGCACCATCAGTAACACAAGCTACCATATGTTTTTCTAAAAATATGTGAATTTCCTTTAACTTTTCTTTGATTTCTTGGACAGCAGTTTCTGCAGGTAGAACATTGGAAATCTTCACCATTCCTAAGTTCCAAAATGTTCCGTCACTTTTGTGTATGTTTATATTTAAATATCGGCGATTGTTTAGTGAAGTATATTCATCCAAGGATAAACTAAACCTTGATCCTCCATTTATTTGGCTATCAATTTCAGAACATAATCGTTGTTTGATTTGTTTGTAATGCGAATGGATGAGATCCATTACATCTGATGGATTTTTTTGTAAAGTGTATCCTCTGTCTGTCAATGATTTTCTGATAAAATCACTTTTTGTAATAGAGTTGATAGAGATGCCATCTAAAGTCACAAGTTTTGTTACTATTTCTTCACACATTTCTTTCTTAATTAATAAAAAGGGATGGTAAGGTTTGTTGAGAGGCTAGTCGCTTACTAGTAGTTGCTCCAGTTTCCTCAGCTGTGCACTTAGTACCAGTGACAGATAATTTGTCAATATTATGCTTGTTACGCAGGTGTCTGATAAGGCCGCTTGTTGAAAAACCTTTATACTTGATCTGTGTTTTACATTCATTACAGGTTGCAAATTTTTGTTTCAAATCCTTAATGAAATATTTCCAAACAAATGATTCTGACATTCTTGATTAAAGAGATTGGTTATGAACAAAATAAATTATAAATTATAACATAGTATATATGTGGATAATGGGCGATTACAGGAAAAACCTTGAGTTACAACTTGCACCTCACAAATTTGCAATGTAAAAGAAATGTGGCATATGCACAATTTATAAATAATTTCAACTTTCACTTATTCACATCAGATTTGTTAAATTTTACAGGATTGTATTATCTTACAACTTTATGGTAGTAAAGCTTCGTTTATAAGTTTCATCAAAACTAAAGACTAAAATGATTATTACTGAGTCTGAAAAATACATCAAAAGAATCTTGCATCCAAAAGCATTAGTGAAATTTATTATAATAAAAGATAATAGTCTATATCACAATGCTATTTTATTAAAGTTCAATATAAACATTCAATAAATATTAAATTTAGAAATGGCTCATAAACAAACATATCATAAAATTTTTGTCAAATATAATGTAAATTGCATTAGCATTAAAAATTTTGCACTAATAAGACTTATCTATAGTTAGAATAAAAATTAACCAGTTTGTGCATACAAATATTTGAAATAAATTAGACAAAGAACATTAAAACAATAAAATCATTCAATAAATCTTTAAGACATTTTTTGCTTCCAAATTAACATGGAATTTGGCATCATAATAAATCACAGCTGAGAATAAATGTTAAATATTAAATTCATTTGGTTACCATTTTGATCTACTGTTATCTTTACAGTAAGATCCCACTTAACGCTGCCTCGCTTAATGCTGATTCAATATAATGTTATCTGCTCGAAGCCTAAAAAAAGCTCAAAATTTATGCAGGTTTAAATTATCGTGGCATTTCATTGATTCGTATAAAATACGATTATTTGTGAACACAAATCAATCAGCAAAAGATGGCAGAGGTGTACTTTCTTTAAATCTATGTTTGTTTGGTGCAATTTTGGAAAAAATATATCATTGTGGATACCATAGGAAATATTGACTTTGCTTGGCAAGAATTAACTGATAAATGCATGAATGAAGTGTGGAAGAAGTTATGGCTGAAGGTTTCCAAGAATTCTCAACAAGAAGAGCCTATCGCTGTATCGTTAGGTTGACCAAACTCAACTTCATCGATATAGCAGAACTAGGAGATGTAGACGAGCAGGATATTAAGGAATAACAGCAGGTTTCTGGTGAGAGTCTTACCAATGATGACCTTTGAGAACTGGCAGAACAAGGAATTTGTGTGCAACTGGAAAATAGCAATTCTGAAAATAAAGAACCTGTGAAGTATTGACCTTTTAGCAGAGAGGGAACAAAAGAAGCGTGACCTTGTCAATTGGACCCACGTGCGGTCAGGTAATATACCACTTGTAAGGTGTTGACTTGTAAACAGAGGGAAAACAAAGGAAGCGCTGACTTTGTCAATTGAACCCAGCTGTGGTCAGACGATAGACCATTTGCCATATGGTAAACAACTGAATGTAAACGAACAGCGGAAGTTACTGTAAGTTTGACTCTCGTCGGATAACAGCAGACCTAGGTTAAAGCTGTTTGGGCAAGAAAGGTTTGTGATTGGTCAGAAGTTTCCGTCCAAAAAACCCTTAAATTGCGGAACAAACGGGAGAGGGAAGAGAGAAGGCCAAGAGACTGGTACATGGTAGTCTCAGGCACTTGGGATACCCACTGAGTACAGAGAGAGTGTTCTCCTCTGGTAAACATCTCAGGGACAGGTTAGTGCAGTTGGACTGACCGTGCAGTTGAGCCAACTCCACAAGCTGACTGAGGCCTCTCCAAAGTTTAACAGTTCCTGGAAACCAATCTAGTACGTGAGTCACTATGCATTGTTATCCTGTATATATATTATGTTTTCGAACTTGTACTTTCTGCATATAGAATCTGTAAATATTATCAATCTGAGTGTGGAGGTGTGCTTTCCTGAATCACTATATCAAATTGTCATACACACGGAAACCAACTCAACAAGACGGAGTTTGAGAAAGAACTTTCACTAGATCTTCACTGAACCCAAAGAATTTCTCTACAGTTTTCTTAGAAAAAATTTGGTAACAATAACCAAAATTGTTGATCAAATTGTAGCAAATGATCCAGATTTTGAAAGAAGTGCAAAAGCAAAAACGAGACATTTTGAACATAATCTTCTGCTACTGACATTTGCTTAAGGAAAGAAAAAAGCAACAAATGAAACTTCACGACTTTATTGCAAAAGAACAAGAATTTCAGAAAAGTCAGGACCTTTGTCACAAAAAAATGAACTAATTAATATATTATTATACATTTCTGTGTGCATATGTTTATGTGTTATTTAACATATATTATTATACAAATTAATATAAAAATAAGTTAAAATTAAAGTAAATTTTTTTTATTTTCGGTCACGTGTTCCCCTATCCCAATTTACTCTATGTTAAAATAACCTTGTTTAACACTGTTTCGTCTAGCACTTTGTCGTCTAAGAATGCATCCCCCACTTAAGCAGGACCTTACTGTATTTGTAATTAATAGTTTAACTAACCCACAATTACATGTAGTAGTGGTGATTTTCCACAATTACTAGTTTTTGTATGGACATTTTTCACCAAATTGACTTATTTAGCTGTGCTTCTATATCCTCACACTATGTGCTATCCATCTGTGTAAAAATTTTGGTTGAAAAAATGTCTTCCACTTATTACACATCCTCAAAAGACCACTGCAGAAAATTGCTACCTCACACATTCACATGTTAAAAACTGCCTGTGATTATAGGTTAATGTGATTTATGTGAATCAATATTTTATAATAATTTCTTGCAGGTAACAAAGATAAAAACAATGTGCAAAAACTAAATAAATGTATGTAATGTCATAACAATGTATTAAAAATAAAACTATCAAATAAATGAATAAAACATAAAACTAAGTGAATGCTTACCAATCACCTGGTCCAAGAATAGGAGAATCATTCTGAGCTATATGATACAAGGCACTCATTGCATTCATGTTGAAATATGGTGGCTTACGTTCAGCTATAAAAAAAATTATTTTGTGTGTGATGTATTACTGAATAAAATTAAACTAATTTTTTATAATATTAAATTACAGTGAAATTCCATTAACATGGTATCCAGTATGCTGGCAAACTGATAAGCCGGCATATCAAGCTCGTCTTTGAAGGGAGTATCGATGTACTGGGTATTCATCTGTATTTATACGTAAGTAGGTAGCCAGTTAATTAAAACTAAAAATAATTAAATTTACACATATATAATTTAAATTTAAAATTAAATTTGAAAAATTTTAAACTCTGGTCTTTATACCAAAATAGATACCAAAACCAAATCGAAAACTAAAAATAAAATTGAAATTAATTAATTAAAATTAAAATCAAATCAACTAAAACAATATTTCAAAAAGTGTGGATAGAGTACTTCTCAGTCTTGATTAATTTAGTTATATTTCATTAAGGCAGTAAGAGTTGAATCTCTATTTATAGCACTTCTTTGTAAAGTGTTAATTTAAGTTTCAGCAGTGATGGAACACTGCTTTTAATATGCAAATTATATAGAATATAGAGTAGATATAGATAAAAGTGTACAAAGCAGAAAGTAGGATTCTAGTTAGTGTGTTCTTGTTACAAATTAAGCAAGAGTAGGAATAATCTGGAAAAATTGAAATAGCATGTTAATTAAACAACCAAAATTTGTACAGTTTTTCATGCAAAGATATGTAAAATTGTGTCCAGGGAATTAAAAACACTGAAAAAAATTCCATTGTCTGATAAGTCGGCAGATTCAATAAATTGGCATCGTGTTGGTCCCAATGATGCCGTATTAATGGAATGTCACTGTATTACTATTTTTTACATTAATATTCTTAACTAGCATACATATTAAGAATTTTGCATAGATTCAGCAGTATTTATAATTATACCTATTAGAAGTTTCAATAACAATACTCTGACACCATAAACACATATATTTAATTTCATAATAGATAAACATCTGCTAGATATATATATAAAATACTTTAAAAATTTTATGACCATTAATTGTCATAAAATTTTGAATGAGTGAAGCTGTGAGGTGAGCAAGCAAAATGAATGGAGGTCATCAAAGATCCCTAATAATTTAATGAATACATAATTTACATTCATTTTGGTTTTCTTATATTATAATACAGAATTTAATTTCAATAATAAATCATTGTTTCAGAAACTTCTATAACTTGGTACCAATGACAAATTTAGGGGAATGATTAGGGCACAGCTGCACCCTTTCTGATTAAATTATTATTTTATTATTTCTTTGATTCCTCATGAATGTCAATTAAAGCATAGGAAAGTGCACTGCTGTTCTTTTGTAATTTATTTATTTCTGATTTTATAAAAATTCAATTAGCATCATAGTAAATTTTCTTTCCCTTTATTTTCAGTGACAGTTCTGGATTGGATAACACAAGCCAGTTACAGATTATTTGAGACAAATTTTAATATCTGACCAGATTCTATTGTTGACTTTCTTTTATTTAATGCATCCATATGAACAATTGATAACACTTGTTAATTAATGCTTCTTATTCTTTTTTTTATTATTAATTATTAGTAGTTTACTATGACTATAATCTATTAATAGGACTTATGTAAATGAAAAGTTTTCTGTAAACCTATAGACTAATAAAATCTCTTGTTTTTTCAACAAGTTATATCAGTGCAATAAGTCCTATTAATACATTATAGTCATACTAAACTAATAATAATAAACAATGCTGTTTATAAAAAAGCTTTAAATTGTCTTTGTATTTGCCAAAAACTTTGGAGCTGAAAACAACATTCAATTTATACTTGTATATGTATATTTTTAGCTTTAATATATATTTTTCTCAAGCAAAGCTCCAGGTATCTCAGTTAGTATTTTAGAAGGTATATTGTTTCCTTCCTGCACTCCCCCCTCTAAAAATATCTGGTTCTGCCATTTCTTGATATCATTTTATAAGTATAAATGCAGGATACACAGTCACCACATATATCCACATACATTATTTCAAAAATAATTTTGAGATGAAGTTGATCTGAATAAAAGTCCAAAAACATTTCTCCTTTACTTTCTTTTACACACAACGAAGTGGTAAAATAAGGAAATAGAACATTAATACATCCACTTTATTAAATATTATATCTTATATTTATTGCCAATTTATTCATTATGTATAAGAAAAAGTAACAAAATACAAAGTTATGGTTTCATTAAAAGGAAATGCACTTCTCCTTCAGTTAAACTATTGGTTTCCTTAAAGCAACTGTTATCTTTTTAATAAGCACTGTTTCCAAAAGTAAAACAACTATTAAATCTAATTATCAAATGCATTGTAATATTAAAAGATCTATTAAACCAAAATTACTAGAAACATTTGAATCAAAAATGTTTCTTTCAAAATCTATAAAATGAACTTACCTAATTCAATACAAGTTATACCAAGAGACCATATATCAACTTTTCCATCATACTGCCCTTCATCCATAGCTAAAATAACCTCAGGTGCCATCCAGTATGGTGTACCCACAAAAGAATTTGCTGGACATATCATAGATGCTGATCCAAAATCAGCTAGAAATATAAAAAAATTAATTAAAGTTGTAATATGTAATCATTTAGTTCATAAATTTTAAAACTAGATTTTAATATTAATTACCTAACTTGACAGTTCCATTTTCTGTAAGAAGAATATTTCCAGCCTTCACATCCCTATGAATTCTGCCTAATGAATGGAGGTACTCTAACCCTTGCAAGGCATCCTGACAAATAGCAGCAATTTCATCTTCTTTCAAAGGTTTCTTGTGTACTTAGAATTTTAAAGATAATTTTATTATGCCTTTTTTAGAAAGTATAACAAATTTTAGAACTACTTAATAATAAAAATTATAACATTATACCAAAATATCTGAGATAAGATTATACAGAATAAACATAAATAAAAAATATCATCTAAACAAAAAAACCTAAGTGAATTTCAAAATATTACTTATAATATTCCAATATGTTAGTATCTAGATTTATTGATGTAATTTTTCTATTTAAATTATATGTTACAAAATATAAGACATTAACAATTGATAAATTCAGAAAACAAATTAATGTACAATGCACTCTCACTAATCCAAACTTCAATTAATCTAAACCAAGAATTGCAAATTGACAGCCCACGGATACATCCCATTAAGACTTCGTATCTGCAACAGCCTGCAGCCTTGATAATGTCTTTCATAAAAATCAATGTATCTAATATTTTGCGGGTATTAAAACAGAAACATTCAAATTTCTAACTGTTTACATAAGTTGTAAAGGCCTGGAAACAAAAGGGCTTTTTGCTAGAGCCTTTTAGTTTACAGTACGTTCTGATTTACCAAATAATAATTAATATGATCCACACCTGATATACATATATATGACTGGTTCTTTGCTGCATTTTGAGTTTGTGATCCCTGATCTAAACCAATTTTGGTTGTTTTGCCTCCAAAATGTTTCAGACAAAAACAAAAAACAATCAAACTTTGTAAAAACATATCATCATGAATTTGTAAAATTAATATATTTTATATATTTTAACATATGACCAAATACAGTATAAAAAATTTTTTAATTATACATGTAATTGTTCAGATGCAAATCTAGATAGTAGTAATGATCCTTGAAACTTTTTTATTACTAACAAGAACTTTCACTATTGACATATATTCTTATTAGAGGTTCTTTTCTCCTAATGAAAACAGTTTTCATTCATTTTCATTCTGTCTCCTGATGAAGAGCAACAGTTTCCAGCTTCTGGCAGACTTCAGTAACTTCAGGTGAAGTGTTTAAGTTGAGTTCTAAAGCTCAACTGTCCATTTTTACTTGCAATACTGCACCCATTCTTCCTGTCCCATCAGGAAAAGCTGCGAGAGGTCAAAAGTCAGGCCACCTGCACACAAGTCAGACAATCTGCAATGATCATAAAACCTTTCTCCTGAAGTAAGCTGTCATATTACTGCCACTCCTTTACACCTGGAGATTTTTTACATCAATAGATGTAATAGATCTTTCTAGGAAATTATGCCTACTTTCCTTACAATTAAAATTGTACCAATTTTCCTCAATTTTTTTAATAAAGGAAATGAATTTAAAATAAGCAAAAATTTTTAAAATGAATGCCAGAAGGTCTTTATATAAAATCCTGTTAACTCAAATTTTTCACTAATCTAAACATCCCATATTATAATTAATTCAAATTAGTGAGAGTACACTGGATTTTATATGACATATCTCAGTGTATTTCTGCACTTAAAAGCTTAAATATTATGTAATACAGGAATAACAGCTAGATATCTACCTTCAATTATATCTGAAGCAGACCCTAAACAATATTCCATGATAAGCTACAGAAAAATAATACAAAAATTACTCAATAAATTGTATAATTGACTTCAAAATGATTTTAAAAATTTACATTCTGTCATGTTTAACTGTAATATATATTTACCCATGCTGTGTGCTCTTTTAAATAACATCCTTTATAATCGATTGTATTCCTATGTTTAAGTTGACGCAGGAACTTCACTTCTTTGATTATATCTTGCCATTTCTAGTTTGAAATATAATAATTTAATGTTACAAGTGAATATAAAAATACAGGATTATCTTAATTACCTGTAAATCAAAATTTTGCCAAAAAATATTCAAGTTTTCATTTAAATGCTTTCTGCTAATATTAATCTACTTTGAATAAAACAAATTTTTTATTTACCTCTGCAGACTGTTTTCCTGTAAAAGACATTTTCTTAATTGCAACAACTTCTTTAGAAACAGCATTTCTTGCCTATTGTATATAAAAATAAAATAATCATATTGATATTCAAAAATCGATTAATGTAACACTAAAATAATGTATTATATGAAAATTTTCAAAATATAAAAGAAAAGGAAATAATTTACACAAAAATATTTCCCGTCTACACTGAAAATTTATCAATGTTACACTTAAAAAACTATCAAAAAACTTAAATAATTAATAAAGTGCACATTTCATTTTGTGAAATTGATCCTATCATCAAAATGCATATAGCCAATATCAAAAATTCAATATTTCTTTAGAAATTAAAAAAAAAAATTTTTTTGATATTCTGAAGCCTGTCAAACTGCATTTATTTGATAAAAACTTACATTACTCAACTGAAAATAAATAAAATTCATATTCCAGCTCTTATTTCCAAATGTAAGAATATAGGATACTTTTTACTTAATTATTACAGGTGCAATTAAGCCTGCAATGTGAAGCCTGCAAGGGTCAAACCCAAAATTTCTGGTTACTATCTGAAATATTCCCAACAATCAAAATTGAATTCAAAAACTAAAAAAAAAAAAAATACTTTTTAATTGCCCAAGTTGTCAATAATAAATCCATAAAAAATTACCACAGCTGTTATAAAAAACAATAAATTGTTATTTCCCAAACCAGAAAATTTCTTCCAATATTCCAACCATAAAATTGAACAAAACAAATAAATAAAATTTACAAAACAAATCCAAGATCAACTGGAAGCACTTATTTCAAGCACTAGTCAGTTACAAATTACACATTGGTTTAAGAAATCAACACTTCATCTTTCAGTTGCATGACTAATAAAAAACATGCAAATAACTTAAAAAATCTCATTAGAAACATCCCCAATTATAATATACATAACATTATGTTTTATGGCAGATTCGTAAGTCTATAGTAATTTATATTAAAAAGTCACAATTAACTTGATGGGAAACACCATCTATTCAAACAAAAAATTACAACTCACTAAATAAAATAAAAAATAACCAAAAGAAACCTTATTCTATTGAGAAGAAATTCCAAATTCAATACCTGATTCAATTAACTAACTACTCAGTAATAATCAAGTATCAGTTACAATCCATTACTATGTATCCAGTACATCATGCCCATTATTCATAATAAATAATGAATGCCAAGTATACAAGTAAAATAACTACCCACCACTCAGAAGTAACAAATTTGCCTGAAATTGCTCAGAAATTGACACTTCCAGAAGCTATACAACACAGCATCTCTGTACAAGTGTCCTATCATCATGATGCATCAGTCCTAGTGTTCACATTATTTTCACTACTGCAGTTTCTGATGTAAAGAGTATTAAGTTTAGTAAATTTGCAACAATTTCATGCAGATAATCCATGGTGACATATATCCTGCACAAAATTGCAAGAACAAAAAATAAGACCTTCGTATAACCCACTCTATCGCATATCCAGAGGTGTGGACCCACCCACACCACTAGATATGCTATTGAAAGCAAGATAATTATTTCTATGTAGTTTAGAAGTTCCATATCAAGATTTAAAATATTGCTTTTTCTGTTTCATTTCTGCTAATAAAACTATTGTAGACATACAACAAAATTTGGGTAATAAATATAAATATTATTTTTTAACGTTTTTCAATATTTCTTCAAAAAACTTTACCTTTTGTGACACAAAATTGATTTGTTACTCATATTGAAGGTACAAATTAGCCACATTTTTTTATTGCCAGAGATCCACAGTTTTGATTACCAGATACAAATATCTTCACATCTGGCAATAAACTTTTATCACATTTTAAAATTCTTTATAGTTTGTTCTATAATGCCCAATCGATGTGTTGTTCTTATTCCTGATGCCCGATAACAGTTATAACAAGTACTTACTATGAGAAAAGTCATAAGAGGCAAAACCCAGCAGACAATATTATACAAGTTAGATTGTAGATGGTACCAGTTGTTAGATTGCCAACTATGAGATAGTTTGTTGTTGGCAGAGTAATGAAAGAGTAATTTAATTACATTTAACCAAATAAATATAATTATTTCAGGCGATTATTTATATTTAATATTAAAATAGATTCTCATGACAATTTCTCATCAAATATTTTTTATGACAATTAAAATGTTTCTACAAATGTTGTTTATAATTTATCTTGTACTTACATAATAAACAGCACCAAAACTTCCATGACCAATCTCTCTTAAATCAACAAATATTTTTTCTGGATCTTCCTTATCAAATAATTCTGCAATTTCTGGATCCTTCAGACTTCCAGGCCTAGAATAATTTATATATTATTCATAAATATACAAAACAAATAAAATTTAAAATCTAAAATTAACAAGCAATTATTTATTGTGACATCGTCACAACACCAGGCTGCAATTTTTTAATCATATTTTTAATTTATTTCATTTAAAATATATGTTTTCCACTTCAAATTAGTAGTGACTTGCCCCCATTAATCACACTTTTCCTTTAACAATAAAGTCATGCTGGTCATCTATCTAACATCTTTCGAGAGAAAATTCTTGAATTGAAATAATGTGACTTCTAGTTTGTTACTGTGTAACAACAGGGACAGTGTTACTCTACATGAAAAATTAGGGGTTTATGCAATTCTGTTAAAGCACTCTTTAACAGGATCTACATTATAGATTGGGGCAACAACTAGAATGTTGCATGTTCACATTGAGGAGCATCAAGCTGACATCACAAACAATGGACCTACAACTGAACTCTCTAAAAAAGTACTTGAGCTCAGCCCTTTAAGCTTGAGCTAAGTTAATGAGGCAGTGTATCAAAAAAGAACTTTGTTCATTTGGGAAATCCTATATATCTCATCTTAATCGTCGTGCAATCTCCCTATAATCAACATTTCCCAATTATGGATAGTGATGTTTAAACAATTTGGCCCATAAATGCTCACACAAAATTTTACATTTGGAGATATATTTTTATTTTTCTCAATAATTTTCATGTAAACCTTACTATTTATGTTTATTTATGTCTTGTTTTAACTTTATGAATGTTTGATACCTTAGCCACATACCTTTATAATTTTAAAAATTCCATTTTACATTTTGTTCTATTCTAAAATTTAAATATTATGTTCAACTATTGCCTGACGACAATGACAAAGTCATTGAAAGTGCTAGCAATTTTATTAAAAGTATAAGAATTTTAATGCCATTTTACTGTTGATTCTCATCATGAAAAATTTAACTCAGAACAAAACTGAATTATTGCAATGTAATATCTGCATTATAGCCAATAAAAGTTGCTACAGAAACCATTTGCTGTAAATATGTTAACTTGCTTATTGCAAATGTTACATTATATTGTAATTTAACAAAAGTTTGCTTTAAAAAAAACTTAAATTTTCATATTTGTCGTATAAAACAATGATAAGTTGAATAATAATCATCAAATGAATCATTAAAATCTTTAAAATTCCATTTTTCAGTAAATTCTTTCAATTCCTTATATTTTTAATGCTAAAATGTTGTAATTGCAGTAAATTCCAATTATCTGAGTCCCAATTAACCAAATCAATTGTCTATCTGGACATGTAGAAGCCACTGTAAAGAAGAAATTAAAAATGTGCTAGATAGAATCCCAGATGGAAAACTATTTGTGGCATAAATAATGTAATTTTGGATGAAGCAATCAATATCCAGTGAAACTTTTGATTTAATTCCAAAGGAAATAGCATCTCTTGTATGCCCCAATTACATGTGATGTAGAGAGATCATTTTCAAGGTAAAAAATGTTGTAGACCAAACTAATCCTTGAAGAAATATAAATGAAATCTCTTTCACAATATGATGGCTCTTGCTTCAAATAATCATCAATGAGAGACTACAAATAAATGGCATACAAACAAAATTGAACTATCGGGAACTGATAAATACTTATGGAGGGTGATAACAAGTCTTTAGAAAGAATGATGCAACCAACACATTTTTATCCCAGAAATCTGTTAGATAAACAGTAGAACAAATCCACAAATTAAATGATCAGCTCTTATATTTTAAAATTCTATTATTAACAACATAATATATAAATTAATAAGTTATTTTAATAATATTTAAATATATCATCTTAATTTATTAAATAATTATAGTGTTCTATTTTACATAAAACATCTATTTTTTCTTTTCAGTTTTTATTTTAAATAAGGATGTTTAGAAAAACTATTTTCAAATGTTCATCACCGTAAGAAATCAAAGGCACACCATCTAATCAGGTGTGATGATGTGTCTTGATGTGTACAATTAAATGTGTTGATAAGTTGATTAAAAAAATTACAACGGCTATAAATTGAATGCTTAATTGAGCAGATAGGTAAATAATATGTCTTGAAGACCAGCAAAAAATCCACCATGAAATGAAAACACCCTTCATCACCAACCAAAAAAAGTTCAAAGTGCCACATTCTGCTGGAAAAGTCATGATTACCATTTTCTGAGATTCACTGTGCATCATCCTCATTGACTTCTTGGAGCCAGGTTACACAATCACTGCTGGCTGATATTGTAACACCCTTAGAAAATTACATGAAACCACCTGATGAAAATGCCCAGGCTTGTTGAATAAAGGAGTCATTCTCTTGCACAATAATGCAGGAGAATGACTCTTTATCAAAGAATCAAAGAGAGAATCAAGAGAATCAAAAAAAAGAACAAAACACCCACTCAACAAATATACAACTTTTCATAATCTAATTATGAAAAGCTATATTTATTTCTGTAGTTTTTAAATAATTAGTTCTAATTATTTCCATTCAAAGGTTAAATTAAATTTATAGCCTAACATCTTTCTTAGTGAACTAAACCTAAGACTTAACACTTGGTGAACTAAAATAGTGATTTAATAATAACAAAGTGATTATTAAATTTATAGACTTCTTACCTAGGTAAAGAAGGCATAATGAAAGCTGAAAGATTTAACTTTCGCTGCCTTCTATGATTCCTAGTGACCAATTCGAAAATACTTCAATTTAGGACATTGGTTTAATTCTCAAAATCATATCTGTAAAAATTACAATAATGTATTTTAGATACAAATTCATAAAATAAAATTCTGATTGAGATTAAAGAAAAGTATAAAGTATAACTTATAAATATACAATTATTATTAAAAAATCATCTACAGTAATTAATTTACAAAAACTATTAATAACTTATTGTAGTCTCTTACTTTCCACAGAGTATAAAGTGAAAGTAAAAGGAAAAAAAATCTTCTAAAAAAAATACAAAACTGTTTCTTGATTATATAAATTAATTACATATTTCCAAAATTACAATAATCAACTGTGGTAAATAAATTTAAAACTTTTATTAAAGCCGAATGATTGCTGGATTATATCAGGCTATATTATTATTATTACTACTACTATTATTATTATTATTATTATTATTATTATTATTATTAATTAAATGTTTAGTAATTTAGCACTAGAGGCAGGCACCATCTCTTGCTAAATTTTACAATTATAATTAAATTAATATTTTAAAAATTAAGTTGTAATATAGCCTGATATAATCCTGCAATTGTTTGGTTTTAATATATAACTAAAGGTTAACACATATTGTAAAAAATACAAATAATAAAGACTTATTAAATACAAATAGAAATATTGAAGTCTTCCTTGTCATCCTTTTCACAAAGGAAATATTTACCTGGATTTTTTTAAAAATATACAGTAGAGCATCGATTATCCAACCCCCGATTAACCGTCACCTCGGTTAACCAACCGCATTCTAGTCGGCAAATTCAAATGTCCGCTAGTGATGGGCACTACAATATTTGGCTATGTCTTGACTACCTTAATAGTATTTTTACATGTTTTAGCTGTCAACACTGGCTCGACCATGAAAGGGAGCCAGTATTTAAACGAGGCTTAATTTTCTAATTTTTAACGATGCAATAGCAACAATTATTATTTTTTAAAAAATTTGATAGGCTTAACATGAAGGAAAATTCAACGCGAAGTAGGTTAATAGCGATATACAGTAATACCTCGAACTTACGCGATAGGTGGGACCGAGCGATAACCGCGTAAGTCTGGGTATAATTTTGCAATTTGTGTAAAACCCAAGTTGGATGTATGTAAGCTAATAAATGTTCTCGTTAATCTTATCTCGTCTTTTGATTTGTTCACGGTTACAAGAAATCACCATGTAGAGTCTCTCGAGTCTCCGTAGATATAAAATACACAGAAATAAATAACACAAAATAAATTGTAGCTATGTGTCGATTCCACGCGACACGTCCAAACATGTAAGCCGAACAATAGTGTGGGGGGATTGAGTAATTGAGAGTTGCTTGGCGCTCAAACAAAAGACGAATTGACGAGATTTGAAAATCGCGTAACTCCGGGTTCGCGTAAGTCGGGGTAGCGTAAGTCGAGGTATTACTGTACTAATATACTAATTACATGGGATATAATAATATACTACACTAATAATGGATTTTTTTATACTTTTTTTATACTTTTTTTATACTTTATACTTTTCGGTTATCCGACTTTTCAATTATCCGACCAACCCCAGTCCCCAATTGAGTCAGATAATCGATGCTCTACTGTATTTACAACGTGTAACTATAAGGTTTAAGATGTTTTTTTAAATTTTATTATTATAGTAATATTGCTAGTGTGTATCCCACTCAGCTTACATAAAAATGCTTGATGTTATGCCAAATTAAAGTCAAGATTTAACTACAAAAGAAATCTTGTTTTTGTGCCATCTGTGAACATATCTGAGCTTAAGAATTTCCTGACTATATGACATGTTTAGTATGGCAGTTTTCTGTAGTGTATGTGCTGTTATGATGCCTGAACACTTCTAGTTGTGCATGTGGTATGATACCCATGTAAAAAGGATGGTATTCATCTGTTAAAGCCCCACATGATGCATTGCATGTTGCTTTCCAAGATGTGCCACAATGCTCTGTCACATCACTTAGAGATATAACATAGTTGAGCTTGAAAACCAGATGAATTAATTATGTTTTGTACAAATCAAAAATAAACCTAAGATTAATTTCATTTAATAATAATTAAATATATTTTTTTGTTTATATAATCAGATTATTTTTAAGAAATCAAACTTAACATGCAATATTTAATATTATGTGATAATAAGCAAATAAGTCTTTGATGTGTGCATTTATGCTGATGTGTGATCTTGTGGAAAGTAATTACTCAATTAATTTTTGGAATTTTTCAATGTTTGAAGTTGACATTTTTTGTAATATGCATTAATTTAGTGTAGTATACTTCAAATGTTTAGCAAAAATGTATTACAATTAATTTAAATTTAGAAAAAACAAAACCCCAAAATGCAAACATAACAAAATGAATGGAGGTGTAATGTTAATATACAAATGAATAATTGGAAAATGTACTCATTCAAATACGAAAGTATAAAGTAGGCATATTTTTCAATGTGGACATCAAGAAAATAACTAAATTGATATATTGCTGAATCAGAATAGAAAAGATCATTTTTAATATAATATAATAGAATAGAATATTTTAATAGAATAAAATATCATTTTTAATAGAAAATAAGTTATACAATTACTTATAATCACTGTTAAATAATGGCAGCCAATAAAATAATTGCCACATAAAGAAAAGTACCAAAGTAAATTATATTCCTATAAATTTTAACTCAAGAAATGTTAATTAATAGATGTAATATGATAACAACAACCAAAATTAATTTTTTGTACTATTTAGAAAAATCATTTTGTTAAAACCAAATAATATTTAATGCTGAAGTTTTGAATAATGTGCTATTTCTAATCTGATGTACTTTTTTTAATATTCTGTTTGTTATTTGTACTACACTAGAAAAATCATTTTGTTAAATTTGAATTTTTGAATAGTGTAGTATTTCACTACTTCCAAAAACTTTCCTTTTTTTATTTTGATGAAATTGAGAGAAATGTGATTTTTGATTCCTTGAAATGCATGATATTTCATCTATCATACAAACTGCCATGGGTGCCATGGTGGAATCACAGTGTCAGAAGAGATGTGTCATGTGATGTGCCACACACCATGCAAGTCTTTTACACATTCTATATATGTACCATGAATACTACTGACACAATAAGTTCCTTGTCCACTCTCCATGGTTGCTTTATTTTGTGAGCAAATTTTGAGTATTTACTAATTTTTCAATGTATACAGTTGCGGGTGTTTGTTATCAATATGTCTATCTAAATATATAAAATTACTTGTCCTGACCGACTGACTGGGTGACTGATTGATTCATCATTGCCCAGAGCAAACTGCTGAACCTAGAGGTGAAATTTGCTACACAGTTAGGGTGCATCATGAAAATGCACACTAAGAAGGAATTTTTCGAAATTCCCGTGGAGGGAGAGCATTAAGGCTTAACCTGAAGAACAGCTTCTACTGTACTATTTTAGAAGCAATTTTTTGTTTTCAACCACATTTAGTCTTCATTGAGTACTTAGGTGTATTAAATTGATAACATTTCAAACATTGTTATAAATATTTTTATATATTTCGATTTTTTAACCAAATGTTCAAACCGTTTTAAATTTGAATTTGTTATTGCATATTGGTTCGATTATAGAACGATTGTTAATGTTCCAGAAAATTGATCAAATTGAAAACAATTCGTTTGATTCTCAGCAATTCTCATCAATCTCAGTGGTAGGTGTTATATAACAATTACTATAGTTGTCAAAATACTGAATATAAATGGTGTTTGCTTGCAAAAACTACACAGGCGAAGTCGCAGGTAACAGCTAGTGAAGTATGTTTTCTTTTGTTTTTCAATCAATGTGATGTCTGGTCTGTTGTGATGATGGCACAACATAGTATATTTTGTTTATTGTTTTCTTTGACCATCTGAAGTGTATACTTTTAGTATGATTGTAGTTTGTGCTTATATACAAGATTTTGATGTCTTGTGTTTGCTATCTGATTACATCAACATAAGTAGCTTCCACTAAAGACTTTTAATCCAATGTGATTTGTTATATATTCTTGTACAGTACATGATGAGACATTTCCTACTCAAAATAATTTAAATTTAAAATATTTTAAGGATGTTCTCTATAATAATAGAGAACTAATCTAATTTAAACAGTATCTCTTTTTAACTGAATCTTTAAATACTCTTGTTTTATTAACAAAATTTTACAAAATGGCATCTTATCACTTTTATTAAACTAAATATAGAATATATAAACATAAATCATTTTTACCTATTAAAAACTTTTTTGTAGTAAAAAGACAATTATATATCATCTAAGATTTTCTCCAATTCTGATTCAATTGTATCCTATAAATCATGATGTCCAATTCTTTTCACGGTGTCTTGATTCCTGTGTTATGAGTGTACAGTGTAATATATGTATATGGATCTTCTAAAAATTTGAATACTGTGGATAAAATATTAAATATTAGAAAAAATTTCAAAATAAAATAATACATATAGAACAGCCATACTCAACCTATGACCCATGGGCTGCATGCAGATCAAGCTTCTATGTTCAGCTCATAACATTCACACTCATTAAGTATTTTTTTTAAAACTGGCAATTTGGTAAAAAATTTTAAACCTCAAGACGCAGGAAACCCTCAATTGGTTGGCATGAGCACACAGTGCTCTCACAACCTGTTGTTTGTTTTAGTTATGTAATAATGTCAATGTATACAGTTCCATTTCTTATAATTAAGTGTCAGCTATACTGAATCTATGCAGGTAATTGTTTTAAACCGTATTGTTGTGTGTCAAAAATAACTTGATTACACACATAGCAGGAATATCTTCAAAATACAAATGAAAAATATTCAGAGAAATTAGTGTGTTTCAAGACAAACAGAAAGAAGCATATTTTCTATCACATAAACATGATTCGGCAACTTGTTTGATTTGTAGTGACTATAATATTAAAAAATAAAACTGTGTTTATCATTACACCATGAAATACAAATCATTTAATGACACTTTTCCTCAAAAGTCTTTAATAAGATGTGAAAAGTTAACTTTCTTTAAGAAGTCATTGCAACAACAACAAAGTATTATTTTAGTGGCACAGCACTATCACAAAATGCAGTGGTGACAAGAGCAGCGTTTGAAATTTGTTACATACTTGGTAAACATCTGAAACCATTTACTAACACAGATTGTGAAGAATGTTTCATCAATGCTTCCAATGTATTAGTTGATAATTTTAGCAATAAAACTATTGACTAATACAAATATCATCATAAATTTAAAAAATTCAGCTTTCACTATGTGTGGCCGCACACAGTGAGCTCTCCTTCTTATTACTATTACTTGGCATGAGTAGCATACTATATTATATTAAAATTCAGCTTTCTGATTATACCTGTGTTAGACATATTGAAGATATTGAAAAAACAATCCTGATCACATCATGGAAAATTTGAAAAATTGTAAATATTTTAGCTTTGCTTTTGATTCCAGTATTGACATTTCAGCAACATCACAATGTTCTTTTTGTTAGGTACTGTACTGAACAGAATTCAATTTGTGAATTTTTTTAGAAAATGTTTTTTATAAAAAAAATAAAGCCAGAGGTACAGAATATCTCTATATTATTAATACTTTTCTGGAGAAGAATAATATTGATATAAAAAAAAATTGGTTAAGGTGTGCACTGATGAATATACTTAAACGACTGAATCTGAAAAAGGATTTGTTTTCTTATTGAAAAGAATTACAATTTAACAAATCTATTGTCATTTCATTGTATCATTTCATCGTATCAATCAACAAGAAAAGTTGGCAGCATATATTTCCATGGACAAAATAGACATTGTGATGAAAAGTCAAATATAGTGAATTATATCAGAGCATGAGAACTGAACCATAAAAAATTCAAGGAAAGAAATGAACAGTAATTATAGTTATGTTCTTTTACATACTTTAGTGCAATGGTTAAGCAGAGGAAAAGTTCTAGATTGGGTTTTTTTCTTTATGGCAAGAAATTATTATATTTTTACAACAAAACAATGAGGTTCACAGCAAAATTGAAAATGATAAATAGTGGTGTATTGTAGCCTTTCTGCGTAACATCATAAAAAAGCTTAGTGATCTCAACTGCAATTTACATTAATTAATTTAATTAAGTAAATTAATTTACAAATGGCAAAAAAATTATTTGCTTTTGAAGAGAATACTATGCATTTATTACAAGGAAATACAAAATCAAATACTTCATAATTTTCCAACTTTAACAAAAGCTTTACAAGATGGTAATGACATTTCTCCAGAAAAGTATAAGATTGTGTTAAATTATTTGGCTGCCTTATCCCAGAAGTTTAATAGCAGATTTCAAGATTTAAGTAATGTTAAGAATTGTCTGTTGCTTATAGAAAATCCCTGGCACTTAGAAACAAGAACTATTATACAATCAGCTGCATTTGGATGTGATTATTGCAAAGTTATTTGACAAATTCATCATGTTCACAGAAAATATGAATCTAGAAGTTATTTTTAAAGAAAAGAGGGAAGGAAAGGAGTACACAGTTTTAGAAATTAGTGTCTGCCTGACAAATATAAGACTGTATAAAAATGTGCTTACCTGATCCTTGCATTGTTTGCATCAACATATCTTTATAAATCATCCTATTCTAAAATGAAATATGCAAAAAACGTATATAGAAATTGACTTACTGATTCTCAATTTGATGATCTATTGAGAGTAGCATGTAGAAATTATAGACCCGATTTGTCTGAAATAGTCAAAAAGTTTGTCTCAAAATCAAATATCACACTAATTTTTAAATAAACACTTGGTTAAATTTAGGCTTTGAGTTTTATTTTTTAAATTACTATATTATGATGTATAGTGTATTATGTTGTGGCCCACATAATGTTGCAAATTATACATATGTGACCAAAAAAAAAAAAAGTTAAGTATGACTGTTCAGAAGTATTTAATAACAACTAAGTAGCCAAATAGTTCAATCAACGTTAACTTAGGGATGCACAACCTGCAGCCCAGAGGCCACATACGGCCCCCTTTCAATGTTTATGTTGTCTGCGGAAGGTACAGACCAAATCCCTTCTTTCAAGTGTGTCTATTACTCACTCTGTTGCGATGTGGGTCCTGTTATTTTAATGCAGTGAAACAACCCTGATAAGTCTATGGAGAACCTTTTCCATTTCATTGGATAATAAAATTATTACTTACTATCCTTTTAAGCTCAAATTGGCACTTTCTGGCTTGAAAGACTTGGCTTTATCAAATAAAAGTAACCAAGAATCTGATGCCTGGGAAAATTGCCACCAAAACCATGCCCACTCAAGCTCTGTCATCAAAGTGGGATTGTAAACAAATTAACTAACTAAAGTAGCTATATTTTCTGTTTTTTAGATATAATTTTTCTAATTTTCATGTTAATTGACTATTTAATAAAACCATTAATGTTTTATCTGAAACATTTAGCCAAAAAAATTTTCCTGCAAAACTCACTTTGCTACATACTAGGCAAACAAAAATTTGTATCAAATTGAACAAATTTTTTAATCTGTTAGCTAGATAAGTTTTTCCTCTCCCAAACAAGTTCGAAGTTTCTAAGTATAGGTAACACCCGTATAACACGGTAGTAAGTTACGTTCAAAAAAATTGCNTAAAAGAATCACATCAAAAATTAAAAATATAAAAACTATGCCTACTCTCACATTACAAGAATCATTTTCATGTCACACCCTTTCTACATATTTATTGTTAAATGAAATTTATTAAAATATTATATATCAAATTATTAAAAACTATTATTTTAAATTTTCAAAATATTTAAATATATAATCCAGAAACTGTAAAAGATATCTAAACAAAATTCTTTAGATCTATAACATAGCTTATGTTTTCAGTTAAAATTTTACATTTCTTTTTTCATTCAAATAATTTATCATTTATTAATCTCTCTGAGATTGAGTTTTTATATAGAAACTAAAGATCATAAGTAGACTCATTAAACTCTACTGTTCTAAAAGGAAAATTGTAAGAAACTGACCCTCATTAAATGAAATAAAAGTTTGTATTTCAATTTTAAAATGTTTGTTCTTCAGTTACAATTAAAAAATGTAAGCTTTAATAGTAAAGTATAAGTCATTAACAAATGTTTGTAATTAATCACAATTACCTCTGAGCTTTAGCTTCAATACACAAATCCTTAACAGCTTCAAAAATGTTTAATATACAGAAATACATATCCTTATGCAAACTACTACCTGTAATAAAAATTATAATATTAATTTAATATAATTGAATTTATGGTTTTTCTACATTTAAGATATATAATATTTACACAAATCCAAAATGTCTAGATCCAACTTGTTTCTCATTATTAAGCAATCTTATTTATTTATGTACAGTATATTATTAGAAAATAATTATCACCACAATAGAATGTTCCATGAATAAAGTATAATTCTAATTATTTAATTCTCTGATAATAATTAAAATATGGTTTGTCTTTTGAACTTTTCTTAGCTCATCTTCAGAGGTGAATGAATACTTTAAATCAAATACAAATATGTTTAAAGCCAACACTCATACCAAAGGATAATGCAATCTTCATGTAGAATTGATTTTATTTAAATTCTTAATTTTTATTTATTTCCTGTAATCTTATCATCAATAAATAATTGAAACGAGAATGCTGATTCTAGACCAAATAGCTTGCTGAAACCAAGTTTCAGTTTGTTTTTTTAGGTAATAATGATGTGAGGCTCCAAATCTTTACTAAAATTCATGTTAAAATATTTTTGAATAGAAAAAGAGGAGATAAAAATGTTTTTTTGTATGAAAAATGCAATACAGATACATAAACAATATAAAAATGTAAGTCCTTGGATTGACCATCCCCAGCTGGAATCAGATTAAATATTGAATATTTATAACTCAAATGCGAGTACGAAGTCCAATTAAATATTGAATGTTGACCTCTCTCACTATCTGAGTGGTAGCCCATTACACTTAACAATGGGCAACCACTTGGAAAGTGACCTTGAAAAAAAATGGGCAATCAGGGTCAGAAAATAATAAAAACCCTTGTCTCAAGGCCAAGCGGTCCTTCAGCAAATATCCATTAGTTATTCAAAGTAAGATGTAATATTCCTTGAAGAACCATTCTTTCTTCAAGACTCCCTTTTCACACCTGTCAAGACCTTGTTCTTCATACAAACTTTCTTTTGCTAAGATCTAACCCTGTCAAAAAGAAAAGGTTTGTTGTAAACTCTCCTCATTCTTGACAGAATCTACTTTCTGATCTGTTGCTTGCTCACCTGACAATGTTAAGAAACAGGCAGCATTGGTTGCTGTGTTGGTAGACCAGATTGGAGTTCACACCTTTCCTTAACTAACTTTGTGGAAACCAGTGCCATGCTTCTTCGTTGACAAATGCTAAAACATTCAATTGAAGAATCATTGACTAACTGGATCCCTAATATCTGGCATACTGGATATCCAACATGAATTTGAATTCTGATTAGCTAGCATCTCCAACTGACTGGCCAAGGAAAACTTAAGTATTCTGAAAATGATACCATGTAGTAATTTTTCTCCAAGACCATTTTCTATGTTTGAGATTGTTTTGCCAAAATCTGTAAGATCTTTTTTTCCTCAATAAATGGTTTTTTGAAAAGGAGACTTGCCTCAGTGTGTTAACCACACCCACATATGATTTCTCATTTCTCTTGTTGTCCTGAATGGAAATTAATGTTGCAAATTGGCAACCTCACACAAACCAAGTCAAACACAAATTTCGGAATTAATGCCACTTAATGTTTACTGCTTATCTCAGTATTACAGTTGATTGTTGCATTGTGCAATTAGTAACTGCAGTAGATAGTTTGGACTTGAAAATTGTTTTTAATACATTAGTCTCAGCAGTCACATAAGTACAGATATTTGTAATCAAAAGATAATAAGTTGAAGACTGAGTGTACTGTACTTCAAACTTGAAGTATATTTTTACTTCTGAAGACAAGTTATGAAAAGCTTCATATTACTACAAATGAAGATTGTGATATGCAGTGGCATAACTATAATTTTGAGGACCCACCAATCTATAAAAAATAAAAATTGAACTATGCAAAGCTACCAATATTCATGTAATATACATACACACAATACAATATTATAAACATGATTATGAGCAAGTGCAGTTGCATATTATATGGAAGAAACACATTGTTTATTTATTTATTTGATGGGGTTAGCAGCTATGGCTCATTCAGATGCAATACTCAAAGGAAGTTTGATTAACAAAGAAAACAACAAAATGTTGACATTCATCTCTTTATCATAAATAGTATAATCTATTAACATGATTATGAGCAAGTGCAGTTGCATATTATATGGAAGAAACACATTGTTTATTTATTTATTTGGGGGCTAGCAGCTATGGCTCATTCAGATGTACAGTTTTATTAACAAAGAAAGCATTGAAACATTGGCACTCACCTCTTTATTGAAAATAATGTATTTTGTTACTAAAGTATAAATTTACTAAATTACCCATGAATAAATTTTAAGAAATTATTAATAAACCAGTAAAAATATCAGGATGATTCAAAACTTCCCAGACAATAACAACACTTTTGTGAAAAAGATCTCTAGCACTGGCAACACTACTGTGAATGCAAACAAGTTGGTATTTGAGTCATCATCAAAGTACATACCATCATTTTTAGCTGTTGCATTTATTCCTTTGGCAAATTACTTAGCAAATTTGGCAAATTAAATACTTAGATTGGATGTCACGCCAACAGTTGTGCTAATTCAATTAGAAACTTCAGATTAGGAGGCATTAAAGAGAATTAAAAGGAATATTTTAATATTGCAAGTGCTTTCAACATAAATATATACATTGTCCTCAGGCAATTCAAAATCAAAAAGGGAATTCAAAGAGAACATTTAAATTTAAGCATTAACAATATTAGTGGTTTTTGGAACATAACTATTAAAGTGAATAAGATTTAAATTTTAAATTTTAAAATTATAAACATTTAAAATTGGCACGCATGTATCTTAAAATAAACAAACCCCNTATAAAAAAAATTTAAATAAAAAACATTAAAAATGAAAATTGAAAAATTATGAACATTATAGTGTATATAACATTTATCACTTTGCACTTTTGTTTTAATTTTTAGACTAGTTCAATAACTTTCAAAATTCAGTTCAATAGCCTTCAAATTGAGAGGTGTAAAAGCTAACTGTAAGAAGTTCAAAAAAAATTACAATATTTCACTGACAAATTTTATCAATATTAGATTATTAGAAATTCTCTTAAATTTATAATTTTTTAGAACAATATTTTCAGAGTTGCAAAGTGTTTTAAAATTTAAATGCACCATCATTTGATAATATAGCAACATAACTTTAATTCTAATGTTTCAGTCTACTTTACATACTAGTGATGGCAAACTGTGACCTGTATAATGATCTGAAGGTACCTACATTGTATAATTTATAAAAACCTAATACTTTGTAAACATTCAAAGTTTTAAAATCTAACAAATATTTTTTTTATATATAGTGTGAAAGCAAGATGTAGCTGTCATGGAAAGTCTTAAAGGCTACTATTTATGAACATCAGATATAAAAATTATATCAAGTAAACAGCAGCAGATTTTCTATTAAATTAAATATTTGATCAGAAATTTTGAATTCAATTTTGACAAACCTTTGAAATAAAGTTCACCATTGCTGTCATAGACCTTTATTAGAAAAAGTGATTCTGAAGTTACTGTAATTACAATATAATGGCCCAAACTGGCAAGGGAGAGTCGTCATCTGTAATTTCTTCAACAGGGATTTCTCAGAAACAGGCAGGATTCCTGCAATCCCCAAAATTTAGCCCCTGATAATTTTTAAGTTATTTTCACTCCAGGCATGTCCTATGTTACATATCATGTATACATCTATGTAGCTGTATATCACCATCAACAAGAATATGTAAACTTTTGACAATTTTAATGCTGCATCCAGAAAACTTGTATGCAAATTTATATTCAAAGACTAAAATAATGTTAAAAGGAATTTTTGTCTAATCAACATAGTTGGCAGTTAGTGGATGGTGTATCAGTGGAGATTTCCTATCCTTTTACCATTGGAATGATGTGTTTCGTTACATTTTTTTTTGGCAGCAAGGCTGGTGCATTATCAAGACTGTTTATCAACATTTTACTATATAACAATTTAAATTTTCTCTTTATACAGGTATCTCCACAATTATTTGATAGTTTGAAACTTGTAAAATACAACCTTCAAGGAACTATTTGATAGATGAAAATTCTTATTTAAAACACATTTTTTGTATTATTCTCTGTTTTCCTAAATTTTATTTTGTCATTATTTTAAAAAATTGTTTCTTTCTTATATAATTTTTGTATTCAATATTTAAAACTACACTAACATCTTTATTTTCATTTTCCTGTGGATAAAAGGCTGACTCATGCTTTGTGAGAATAGAAAAAGAGTGCAAGTCTCTTCTCTTTTCTATTATTCTCTTCCCATAAGCATTTATACTTAAAAAGGACAAAAGAGCATGCACTTGGAGCTTGCAGTTTAAAATAAAGCTTTGAAAGTGAAAACCTGAGTTGTAAAATTCTTTAAAAATATAGAGTATAAGTGGTTACTTAAATCAAAAAGAAAAGAAAACAGAAATTAAAAAGGATGATCCTAAATTTTTGATATTTTAGGGAAATCTTAAATACGAGGCGTGTTTTTAAAGTAAGTACTGTTTTGAAATATAAAAAAACAAGCAAACGTTTTTAACAAAATTTTTATTTATGTGAAAGCCCATATTTTACACTACTTTTCTACATAATTCCCATTAATATTGAGACACTTATCGTATCGTGGGACCAGCTTTTGTATTCCATCCTCAAAGAATGTTGCCACCTGATGAGACAACCACAGAACGATCGTTTTGACTTCGTCGTGATTGTTATGGCGCTGCCCTGCCAGATGCTTCTTCAAATGCAGAAACAAATGATAGTCACTCGGCGCTAGGTCGGGACTGTATGGAGGGTGGTCTAATTGTTCCCAGCCAAATGATGTGATTAGGTCTTGAGTTTGATTTGACGTATGTGGATGAGCATTATCGTGGAGCAAAATGACACCTTTGGTCAGTAAGCCCCGCCTTTTGTTTTGTACTGCACGGCGCAGTTTTTTTAAAGTCTCACAGTATGCAGCTGAATTGATTGTTTCACCATGAGGCAAAAAATCAACAAGCAACACTCTGTATCTGTCTGAAAACACTGTGCACATGATTTTCTGAGCAGAAATTGTTTGCTTGAACTTGACTTTCCTTGGAGATGATGAATGTCGCCATTCCGTGGATTGTTGCTTCGATTCCGGTGTAATGTAGGCTACCCATGTTTCATCGCCGGTGTAATGTAGGTACCCATGTTTCATACGGCTTAAAAAATAATCTCCCTCATCACTGTAGCACTCAAGAAAAGTCAATGCACTGGCCAAACGTTTGGTTTTGTGCTCCTCCGTCAACATTTTCGGCACCCAACAGGAACACAACTTCCAATAATTTAATCGTCCGGTCATAATTTCATAGAGAACACTTCTTGAAACTGCAGGAAACTCTTTAGATAAAGATGAAATCGTGAATCGTCTGTTCTCTTTCACTCTACAGTCCACTTTTTCAATCAAATCGTCGATAATGACTGAAGGTCGCCCACTTCGTTCCTCATCATGAATGTTTGTGCGGCCATTACTAAAGGCCCTAACCCATTTTCGTACCATTCCATTACTCATAACGCTTTCACCATAAACTTCACTGATTTGGCGATGAATTTCAGCCGCTTTCGAGCCTTTAGCACTGAGAAAACGAATAACGGCACGCACTTTGCAGTCGGCAGGATTCTCAACGAGCGGCGGCATTTCAATCACACACAAACAACAGTAAACACAGTCGACTGGCTCCGTAATGGCATTTGTGGCTTCCCAATAGATGTAGGTACACAGTGCGCATGTGCTAAGTACTCCAGCAGCGTTATATTAAAACGGTACTTACTTTAAAAACACACCTCGTATATAGACTCATGTAAAGATGATATCTATTCAGATATGTTTAACTTAAAATATATAAATGATAAATTATGATTCATTGAAAATAATTTGGCTCTAATTCTAATCACGTCAATTTTATAAGTCTTGATGTTGAAGAACATAATGGACTGTGGGCTACAGAACATACTACACAACATACTACAGAACAGATTATCATTTGTACAGTAGAGCCTCGATTATCCGACTCAATTGGGGACTGGGGTTGGTCGGATAATTGAAAAGTCAGATAACTGAAAAGTATGAAAAAATCCATTATTAATGTAGTATATTATTATATCCCATGTAATTAGTATATCGCTATTAACCTACTTCGCGTTGAATTTTCATCGACGTTAAGCCTAACAAAAATTTTTTAAAATAATAATAGTTGCTATTGTATTGTTAAAAATTAGAAAATTAAGCCTCGTTTAAATACTGGCTCCCTTTCATGGTCGAATGAGTGTCGCCAGCTAAAACACGTAAAAATAATATTAAAGTAGCCAAGACATAGCCAAATATTGTAGCGCCACATCACTAGCTGACATTTGAAATTTGCCGACTAGGACGGTCGGTTAACCGAGGTGACGGTTAATCGGGGGTCGGATAATCGAGGCTCTACTGTAGTATGTTTAGTGTTGCACAATAATCAGTGTCATCAATGATTATTGACAATCTTGCAAAATTTCTTTATTTCTATAAAATATTCTTGCATTTCTGTTTCAAATCGCTGTTAAATTGTAGTGCTACTACATATAAGAATATTTTAGAGAAATAAGTTTTTGTAAGACTGAATAGTTATTAAAATGAAATAAAGTTTTATAACCAGAAAATGATAATTTTTGTAGACACTGTGAAGTTTAATTTCCTTGAAAATGTTTGCATGTATTAAAAGTTTATTTAATTTTTGACTTTTAATGATGTTTTATGACTCAATTATTAATTAAGATTGAAATGATACAGAATTCTAATATCTGTTCTAAACATATCACACTATATTACTTACCTAAAGAAATAGGATATTTACAGTATGTAGAAAGTAAAGCAATACATGCTGACTCTAAACTAGTTACTAATCCTTGACACTCTTCCACAGATGGTAATGGAGGTTTATTAAACATCATACATAATTTTGTACATTCATGTGATACAAGTTTGGTTGCTCCATCTAAAAAGAATACATGAAAAATGTGTCAGAACTCAATAAGTGTAATAATAAAAATAATCATCATAAATATATAATTTAAGTCAAAACATCAAGTTTTTAATGGTATAAATAATTCCAATTATTAAGTTCAATATCTCACATGATTAATTTAAAATTTAAGTAAGTGTTCAATAGAATTAAGTACTGAGTGTAAGAATGTTAACTCTTTTACTGTATGAGGTCTGTTCAAAAAATACGCGGACTGACATCATAAAACAAAATGTACTTTATGTAGAAGTTACATGTCTGGGTCCCCTTCAAAGTACTCTCCTTCTCAATGCACATACTTATCCCAACGGTGTTTCCACTTGTTGAAACAGCCCTGGTATGCTTCTTTTGTAATGTCCTTCAGCACCCTTTGCTGCATTTGCCTTAATCTCGGGAATTGTCTCAAATCATCTTACTTTCAAGGGTCTTTTAAGTTTGGGAAACAAGAAAAGTCACAAGGAGCAAGGTCAGGTGAGTAGGGGGTGGGGAAGAACAGTGAGTGTTTGGCCAAAAACTCAGGAGTTCTGAGGGCTGAATGGGCTGGAGCATTGTCATGATGGAGAAACCAATTGCCACTCCTCCACACTTCTGGCCTTTTGCGATGGATGGTGTCCCTCAGACGTTTCAGAACTTCAATGTAGTAAGTCTGGTTCACTGTGGAGCCTTGGGGGAGGTACTTGTGGTGAACAACACCTTTAGCATCAAAGAAAACTGTCGTCGTCTTCAATCGACTGTCGACCACCCTTAGAACGTTCATGCCACTTGAAACATGCTGTACGCTTCATAGCAACATATTTCAGTCACAGATTTTCCAAGTTTAACACAAAATTTCACAGCAAGTCAATTCAAGGTCATTCATTCTAAAATCTGACAAACGAAAAAATCGCACTTCACTAAAAACCGTGTAGCTAATCAACAAATAAAGATATCTGTAATCAAGAAACGACTTTATCACCAGACAATCTGTACAAACCTAGCAACACTAAGCAGGTTCCCCTGGAACCAACTGGAGCCACGCAACTCAAACAGTCCACGTATTGTTTATCTAATGTAAACATATTTCAGATATTCTGCTTCATATAATTTTGTTTTCTAAAATGAAAGTTTAAGTTCAAACTAAAGGATGCAAAATTTAACAAGAAATTACTTAAAATAATATTTAAATATCATTATAATAATAAAATTTTACTTTTTTTATCATTTAACTCATTACATTGTAAATTATCAGGCTATAAAATAATAAACACTGCAAAAACCTAACAAACCAGCAACAAAATTAAAAACTAAGTGCAAACGTTTTCACCAGTGTTAAATGGGGGCATCACCAGACAACAACTGCTGAGAAAAACACTGGGGATTGGCACACACCCCTTCCCCCTACACACTTATTCAAATAAAAATCTCAGCAAATACTAAAGTTAGAAAAGTACAATTGAAATTTTCACTAACCCAAGAAATTTGTTTTAGAAATATGAAGAAAGTAAAGACTATTAGCCAAACTGCAGTTTTAATGTCTATTAGCTAGCATTATTTTTCTAACAACAAACAAGTGACTTTGATTTTATCACTGATTGGTTCAGCAATGCAATTCCACGTGAAAAATCAAACACATTGAACTCTCTTATTTCTGTACTGCATAGTTCCTTCATGTCAAAAACATGGATACGTCACAAACTTGTTCAAACTAACCAAAATCTGTGCATATTGCAATTTCAGGTATACGTTAACTTTACTTAATATACATTACTATTTTCTCAAATGAAGCACGGCATTCACCTAATCATCACCTAAATGTTGTCAGCTTTTATTTTCAAAGTAATAAGATTGCATATTAAGAAAATAAATCATTTTCAATTTAATAAAAATTAGGAATCTACATTTAAATCTTATTAACATGACCTATTTTTAATAAAAATTTACTTCATTTTGTAGTTGTTACTGGCTAAACCCGATTTTAGGCCAAACTAGTTTATCCTATGCGTGTCAGGATATATTAGTTTAGCCTAGGACAATCTAGTTTGGCCTAAATACTTGAGGCTTAACTAGTTTGTCCTAGGCCGAACTGATTTAGCCTAGTCAGGGCTGACAAACCCAAAATGTTTTGTGGGCCACTTTGATCAAGCGTAACATTACAATGGGCCACAATTTAGGCAAACATGCTTTTAAAAAAGTAAAACAAATACAAAATGAATAAGATTTCATTATTATACCAAGAGTTCGTACTCGCACTTGCACATTATAACAATGACACATGCGAATTTTCATTTATTTAATTGTTTTGGTATATACAAAATGAAAAACGAAAGTTTTAATAGATATATAATATCACTTAGTGTGCCACACAATTTAATTAAGCTAATCAGTAGTTATCAGTTTGTATTTTTTTTATTAAGCCATGCACTTTTAAAAGTAATTAAGTTTCAAAAATATTTTCAAAAATTCAAACAAAATAAAAATAACTTTTAAAGTCAACCTAAAATTAAAAATGAACTTGTTTGTGTTTCTTAGTGTAACATAAAATATTTAAATCTTTTATTTATTTTTACAGGGTGGATTAAAGTGTACATAGGTAACTCCAATGGTGGCACTTCAGACTGTTCGTGTTCCTGGCGGACTCCTCCTGGAGGGGAGCCGCCAGCAGGTCGCCCATTGTTTAATGTCACTAGTTATTGATTCACAGTAGTTCTTGAACAAAAGAAAAAAGGAAACATCTACTAAAAATGTAGTTAACCTAACCAAACCAACCTAACTGAAGCACCACCATTGGGGTTACCTAGGTACACTTTAACCCCTGGGTATACTGTGGTGGCATTTTGAATTACACAAAATAATTTTTTTTTACACTGGCACCTATTTGTAGTACATAAATCAGTTCGGCCTAGGTCAAACTAGTTAAGCCTAAAGTATTTAGGCCAAACTAGTATATCTTGACACGCATAGGATAAACTAGTTTGGCCTGAAATCGGGTTTGGCCGGTAACATAGTTATGTGATAAANTGTTACTGGCTAAACCCGATTTTAGGCCAAACTAGTATATCTTGACATGCATAGGATAAACTAGTTTGGCCTGAAATCGGGTTTGGCCGGTAACATAGTTATGTGATAAACTTATATCAAAATCAATATTTATTAATCAGCATATACGAAATAATTGGCATTGACTTTAGTTACATAAGAATTTAAAATAAAAAAACAATGCAAAAAAATAAAATTAAAAGATTATTAAATTGTATTTTATGTGATAATCTTACCAACAGTCTTCCAATATTCATCTTTATTGAAATTTTCTTCTGTTTGATTAGAAGTTGTATCATCTATAAAGGCAATTAATTTATATTAATAAAATTAAAAAAATGTTATCTTTATACTGTATATAATCATCAGAAAAATTTTATATATATTTGACTTAAATCAATAAGTCCAAAATTCTTAAAATTCTAAACTGAAATGATTCAGATAGTTATAAATATTCTAAGGCCAAATTCATTAGTTAAGTTATAATTATTATTGCCAAATTATAGTCTGAGGAAATATGGCAGTTGGAGAGAGAATTATTTCTATGTATTGAGCTTGATGTGGATGTTTATATTTATAAATATTTCAATATTATTAAAAAAATTGAATAATATTTTAAAAAGTTTCTAAAGTAATCCAAAAATCAATTTTGATGCAAGAACATTAATTTAATTTTAGGGCCTCCTGCAAATATCTACAGGAACTTTTTATTACCAATCCAAAAATTTAATATAATTTTTTTCAATAGTATGTTTTATATTTCATGAGAAATCTTTATTTGATGTCTTATATATGGAATTTTAGAAAATATTAGTACAAATTTTTTTAAATACCCAACTACTACCAAGCCCAAGATCTATGCACCTTGTGAGATTTTGTTATACCCTAGTTATACCATTGTTTTGATGATCACTTCTCACTTATATAAACTTGATTAACTTCTAAACATCTTTAGCAGGCTTATTACACTTACTGTCATTGCATTAAATATTTATATATTAAACATGATCAAATTAAATCCATTTGACAGCTGTACCAAGGAAAGCATATTTATTGGAACACACTAAGGTGAGTGTACAGAAGAATATGTTGATATCAGTGAGTTTATGAGTGTTGAAGTCTCCCCTGCTTGCAAACAGGCATCCCAATGTTGTGGCAATTGCTATATGTTATCCACAATGAAAAAAGTTCCTATTCCTTAAGCCACTGACGACAGCAGAATTCATGTTATTGTCTTTTAGAAATCATACCCCTTCAGCTTCTTGAGAATAGTCTCATGGTGACGGGTACAAACTATGTGTAGGATATTCCAGAATATCCCACCTCTTTCTGGCAAAATTATGCTTAACAGTGATATGTGAACAAACATTATTATGGAGAAGAATAATGCTGGAGATATATACCTAGGTGCTTATACTTGATGAGGATGTTCAGAGTCTGCAGGAAAAGCCTAAATCAAAACTGGAAAAGATAACTTGTAATAAAATGAAAACCATACACACTTTTGCAGTAAAAGGGGTTTATAGAACAAACATTTTCGATTTATAAAATAAACCAAAAACGTTTGCAGGTATCACAGTATGTTGATTGTGGCATCTACTACTTTGAACTCAAGCAACAGAAGTCCTTCAGGGTCACAGAAGACCATAAGCACCACCTAACTGGTCAATGCATGCATTCAAGACTTTCATGGGTATAGTGAATGTAGGTGTTTCTGCTTCATGCATGGGACTTACTTGATTCAAAGTTGTGAAATGTTTTACTCAGAAGCAAGTGTACAGTATGTAGGCTTTTCCCACAGTCCACTTGTACACATTATTTAATCCTTGCAACAGCCTCAGTAGTGGCAACAATATATACCTAGTATGGTCAGAGTTTATCTATCATCTCTGTATGTCAAATGGAACATGTACAGAGATACCATACATACAGATAAATTACAACCATACCATTTACACATTGTTGCCACAACTGACATTGTTGCAAGTATGATAGACCATACCAGCAGTGGTCTATCAGTGGCTTTTGATAGACATTTTCCCCATATACAACATGTATTCTTCTGTGAATTTCAGCTAGAGGATGCTCTTTTGCAATTAAAAATTGAATTACTGCTATTACTCTACTTTGGACAGTTGATTGATTGGTTGGTTTTTCTAGCCACAACGACTATTCATGCTGCACTGAGTACCATGGTTAATAAATGTAAATAAATCCCATAAAAAAACTGATGAAATCAGGTTGAAAAAGTAGAGCTCAGCAGAAACATCTAAAGAAAGGTAAGTTTTGAAAGTTGTGGTATAAGAATAGTGGAAGCAGATTTGACAGTAAGACTAAACATATGAATAAAGTGCACATTACACAGACTACAACTACAGGAGATTTTGGAGGAAGCAGTCATCATAATAAATTAAAAAAATAAGTGTCATCATCATAGAAAAAGGATTCAAGCTTTACTTTATGCCTCAAACTTCCCTCACTAATACTGCTCAAACATGTTCTGACATTTAATCAAATTAATGTAATGCAACAACTTTAAGGCACAAAGGCTTAAAGCCTTTTTCTGTGAGGATGCTTACTTTTCCAATTTATTATCATGACGACTTATACTTGACAAGTATAATATAAAATATACTATAATAAATATATTATATACTAGCAGATGAGCCNATATATGTATATATAGATTAGCAAATGAGCCCGGCGTTGCTCGGGCAAAAAATAACAACAAACATTAAGAATATTAGATTCTTTCGTACTTCTAATCCTTCTATTATATTATAGTATTTGATTTATATAACTACGAATGAGATCTTATGTAAGGGTTTAATAAATATATTATATACTAGCAGATGAGCCAGGGTTGCTCGAGCAAAAATTAACAACAAACATTAAGAATATTAGATTCTTTAGTACTTCTAATCCTTCTATTATATTATAGTATTTGATTTATATAACTACGAATGAGATCTTATGTAAGGGTTTAAAACACCAAGTGCCTAATGTCACGCATTTTGAAAATTCTTTAAATTGTGTACATTAGAAGAATAAAAAATTTTGAAAATGTGTTAGGTAAGAGTTTATTATACCAAGTGGATAATTTAAGATAACCTTTGTAGTTATATAAATCAAATGCTATAATGTAATAAATATTAAAATGAAAACCATATAAAGTGTTTTGTTTTTAGCCTACCATTGTCACATTTATCATGATACTCTAATGGTACAAAATAGCACAATTTCATTGGTCAAGTAGACATGTGGTATCTTAAATTTTTTCAGATATCATAATTTTTTTCTCTACCTCTAAGAATGTTACATCCAAAAAACTGTTCCATTCACAGCCAAATATCAAATGGTTATCTGACAAAAAATCAAATTTTGCAAAAAAACGGATCAAACGTTTAAACTCGGCACCCTTAAAAACCACTTAAATCATATCTTGTGCCGGTTGGTAACCTTGTATTTTGGATTTTCCAATTCCAATGCCACCATACCACTGGTCCAATAGAAATTCGGGACAGTTGCTAAAGGGGGTGGAAGCAATTTGAGCAAAAGTAGTCATCGACCTCCTTCCAGAAGAAAGGATGGTTGACCACTACTAATTAATACTGGTTTACTATTAACATTTGAAAAGTGATCCATGTTAGACAGGTTGTGATGACTCTGCCCATGATCAAGTTGCTAACCTTAATGTTAATGTTTGAAAGACTTCATATGACTTGTTTAAATAAAAAAAAAACTTGTAAAACTAAAAATAATTTCTTTTATGATATACCTATGCAAAAACACCTTATCTCACCGAGTATTATTTATTAACTGTAACAAATGTTTTCAACCTTTAACCAACGTTTTTATCTATTTTATTATTTTGTTATTTTAAATTGTACATTTATTACTGTAATTTATTCTTTGGATTCAAATAAGTGAATATTCCACAAAATTTGGTATTTTAAATGTGTTCTTAACTGTTCTTTACAAAAAAGAACAGTTATCAATACTCCATGATTTTTAAAAACCTGAATTAAACTAGAAACACTTTACAATTACAGGAAATTAAGTAAGTTAAACTGACAGTTCCAACTCAGTCACAAATCATAAAATTGGTAAATTTTAAGTATTTCTAGTTCAATTTAAATAAGTATATTTTTACCTATAGTCATCCTGTAAAAATGTAAATGTAATTTATGTTTTTATCGTCCAATACTACCTGAATCTGTATAATAAACTTAATATAAACACACCGTAAGTGCATTTGGAGTGATTATTCCTCTTGAATTTATATATTTTTATTTATGTTTTAAAATGAAACCTTTTTATTATTTATAAAAGATTCTTTATTAATAGGTAAGAGTGCAGATGTGAATAATGCTGTTGGGACTTAAACACGGCTGTAGAGCATGTCCATAGGAGCAAACAAGTCAAAGGAACCATACCTCTGAATGTGGCATTACAGATGTTATTTGTAATAGTTAATGTTGTGTTTTATATAGTAACACTAAAGAAGGACGGTAAATTAAACTTCGATCCGAAATGCGCGTGTCTTGTTATTTTGTAAAGGAAAAGATAATTTGATCAGTCCGGTAAATTCTTTTTGAATAATCATAAAACCTCACAAGCACATCAGATTTGACTTCTAGAAAGTATAACACATTAATAAATTACCTTTTAATTGCTGACAAACCAAGTTTAAAGTATCGATAGTAGACTGTAAAATACTTTCCACGCTACTCCTCATGGGCGCAGCCATGTTTCTAAATGTATAATTTAAATAAACAAAAAATCAAAATTGTATTAAATGATTCGTTAAATTATTTTTAAAAACGTTTAATTTTATTAATTGAACAAATAACACATATGCAAATATAATTTCATATGAGAAAATTTTTTTTATAATACAAAAATTTTTATTTATTACCATCTAGCGTAGGGGTCTCCAAACTTTTTTTCCCGTCGACCCTTTTATAGAATATTTTCCTTCTTATCGACCCCCAGATTAAGTATTTAACAAAAACATTAAATCATTTTTGCATTTCTAATGTTAAGTGATAAGGAGACCCGCATAACAACCCAACAAAAAATTTATAGTTCCCATATTTTATAAAATCCACCCAATAACATTAACAGAAAAAGGAGATATTTTCCACTGATTTATAATCTTTAAAAATAATAGCAAAATTATGGATAAATAGAAATTTGCCTATACTGTACTTAAAAAACCGTACGTGTCATAATACGTAAAATACACACTTATCTTTGAAAACATAACATTAGTTATATTGGATGAAAAAACCTCTTATGTCATTTTGGGACTACTACTGAATGCCCTAAAAATATGTAGACATACCTTTTTCTTAAAATAGTTGATATTAGGGGGATGGATGTCTCTGAAGAGAAGCAGCAAGATTATTGATATTCGGTTGAAAATTGGTAAGTTTTAGTCGCAAATCACCACGGTTTTCCAAGTTCAATCTGTTCCTCTGTTTTGTCAAAATTGCGTTCGCGTGGCTAAAACCAGCTTCAACCACGTATGAAGTTGGGAATGCGAGTAAGAAAAGTTTGGCTTCTGTTCTGAGCTTGGGATATTTAGTGGCAATATTGTTATTGCTCCAAAATTCACCGAGGTTTTTATTTTTAAACAACGCTTTAGCTTCGAGATTTACACATATTTCACTCAATTCATCTTCCAAGCCAGTTTCACTACCTTCATTATCTATTTTTACATCAAATGGATTAGCAAACCATTCGGAAGCATGCATATTCTCCAATTCTTCGAAACGTGCTTTAAAATCTTCTCTTAATTTATCAAGATGTTTAATATATATCTCCAACTCACGGTCGGAAACCTTTTCATTTTCTTTTAGTACTCGAAAGTTTGAAAAATATTTAAAATTAATCGTGCCAATGAAGATTTAAATAGCTCCATTTTTACTTGAAAGGCCATTTTTTCTTGCAAACGCTTCTGTACTATATTAATGATTTTCGATATATTACGATATTTTCTCTGTAAAGGACAAAATATCTACATTTAGATATAAAACACTTAGAGTGACAACCCAACTAGAGTGTAACAGTGCAACGTATGTCTATGTACGAGGGTAGGCTGAAAAGTAATGCACACATGCTTGTAGAGCACAAACGAAATGATTTTCAGAAGCGTGCCAGGTGGCATATGGAAGTAACATTCCCCCCTCTATGTGGATGCGCAGTTTAGGTTGTTGCGTTCATTCAGTATATTTTGAGAAGCGGAAATATGGAGACATGTTCTGGAGCTATGTCAACGCTAGTTAAACAGCGCGCTGTTATCGAATTTTTAACTGCTGAAAAAATTACGTTTAAAGGCTGTTTATAGTGACGGTGCTGTTGATAGGTCTATTGTAAATTGATGGATAATAAAATTTCGTTGTTGCGAGCCTGGAAAAGCCATAATTGTTAATGAAACACGCAGCGGAAGTCCGATAACTGCCACAGACAATTATTGTTGCACCTTGTTGCAATGTTTAATTCTTCTCAGTACATACAGACTCTAAAACACCTCCGACATTGAGTTTGTCATGTTAGAGGCAGCCTGGCACCAATAATCTTGCAACATGACAACGCTCGTCCACACACCTCGCGCGCAACTGAAGAGGCTCTGCGAAACCTGAAGTTTGAATCGATTCCACACCCTCCTTATTCCCCCGAACTTGCGCCTTGTGATTTTTATTTGTTTCCTCTACTTAAAAGAGACCTCAAGGATAATCATTACACCTCAGACGATGAGGTGAAGGCAGCTGTCAAGTCCTGGATTCAAGAAAAGTCGGAAGAATTTTTCAGTGACGGAATGAAAAAACTTGTTACACGTTGGGAGAAATGTGTTAGCCTTAACGGTGACTATGTTGAAAAATAAACATATGATTTTGAAGCTTAAGAATTGTACTTTAATGTAATTTTTGCCCGATCTTGCTATTTGTTTTTGTTCGTGTTCTACAAGCATGTGTGCATTACTTTTCAGTCTACCTTTGTATAATGAACTACCAGCGTTCATAACATGTTTGCGACACTAGTACAGTTGCCAGATGCATGAAAACAGAGTAACACATGCTTAAAGCGGCGTAGGCTAAGGCAAAACTCAAGTTATAACTAGGGTAGTCAGTAATGTTGATCATATCCGTATTTCGAATTTTTTATTGGAATATTCTATTTTTTTCCTAGACAATTTAATTGATCCTATTTGGTATTAATCGACCCCCTTTCGACCCTCGTGTATTAATCGACCCTGGAAAACTCTTATCGACCACTTTGGGGACCCCTAATCTAGCGGGTAAGTATGAAAACAATATTCAGTTGGATAGAAGTTTACAATGATTACATCACATATTACTTTCTTAATGTTTTATCATAGATTAATAACAGAAAACTGAAAACAAAACTATTTTCCAAAAACTATTAGAAAAAGAACAAAACAAAGAAAAACTCAAAATACAACAAGCCAACTGTGCACGGTTCAATACCCCATTACATAAGTTTGTTTTCGTCGAGCAGTAGAAATTAAAGATAGCTTTCATTAGAATTCTATTCTTAAATAATTTAATTTCATTAAATATTTTTATAACCAAACGTGCTACTATAAATACTTTTGTAATAAATTGTATAAGTTCTAAAATTACTAAATATTTTAAAAAAATTAATTCCATAGAAACAATGTTCAATATTACAACAATGCAACAATATTGTTCAATTATATTGTTCGTATTTCATTGTTAGCAAAGATTAAATTCAAAAGTCAAAGTATACTGCAAATCAAATTCAATGAATTTCCTACCGAAATGTTTACTATTCAGGGCAGTCACATAAGAAAAAAGCCTAACATGCCAAACAAAACGTCGATGTTTAAATCCCTTTCGTTTGTACAGGCATTCGCTGG